GCTGCTCTCGAACTCCTGACCTTGACGCATCCTCCCACCCATCCTCAGCCATTGTATCAGTTTTCAAATGTAACTCATGTTTTGCAGCCAAGCCTGAATTATGACCAAACGATCGATTGCAGCGGGATGTCAGTAGGGTTTGTCTTTCACAACAGAGTACCGGCCCTGAAAGGAGCTGTCCCTTGCACACCACCCGGGTGTGTGGCTCCCGATGCGAGGACGCCGTGCCAGCCGCCGGGCTGCCTCCTACCTGGATGGTGGTGTTGCCTCCTTCTAGAAGGGCGATGGCCAGCAGGATGCTCTCGTGGAACACCCGGTCACTGGTCGCGTTCATGATGAGGTCGATGACCAGGTTGGAGGCCCCTTCCTTGTCCAGGTGACACTGGACCTCGGCCAGGCTCATCTCCCCCCTGCTCATGGAACCGGATCCGGAACCTCCCCTGGGAAGATGGAACATTGTTTTTAACAGGCACGATCGGGGCGGCTAACGAGCATCGCATACACGGTCCCTACCCCTTCCCATGTTATTTCTGTTTATTTTTTATTTTATTTTTATTATTTTATTATTATTATTTTTTTGAGAGCAGAGTCTCGTCTATTGCCCAGGCTAGAGTGAGTGCCGTGGCGTCAGCTCTCACTCACGCAACGTCAATCTCCTGGGCTCAAGCGATCCTCCTTCAGCCTCCCGAGTAGCTGGGACTACAGGCATGCGCCACCATGTCCGGCTAATTTTTCTATATATGTTAACTGGTTAATTAATTTCTTTCTATTTAGTAGAGACGGGGTCTCGCTCTTGCTCAGGCTTGTCTCTAACTCCTGACTGGAGCGATCCTCCCGCCTCGCCTCCCAGAGAGCTAGGATGACAGGCGTGAGCCACCGCGCGCGCCTACCCATATTATTTCTTTTAACTCTTTGACAGCCCCCAAAGAAGGCACTAACTATTAACACAGAGAGGTCGTGAAGTCACTTGTGCAAGGGCACTGCTTGTACGCAGCAGAGATGGTGTTGGAGCCCAGGCAGATAAGACGAAGAAGAGAGAGACGCTTCCAGCAAGCGACCGAAAGCCCACCAGCAGAGACTCTCCCTTCCATCAAAGCACAATAACTTGGGGCAGAACTGCTAAGAACCGGTTTGAAAGAGACAAACCAAACTCAAACACTTCTTAGAACACTCTTAAGAAAGTTTAGGGCCGGGCGCGGTGGCTCACGCCTGTCATCCAGCACTGTGGGAGGCCGAGGCGGGAGGATCGCTCCAGGTCAGGAGTTCAAAACCAGCCTGAGCAAGAGCGAGACCCCGTCTCTAACTAAAAATAGAAAGAAATTAATTGGTCAACTAAGAATATATAGAAATTAGCCAGGCATGGTGTGCATGCCTGTAGTCCCAGGTACTCGGGAGGCTGAGGCAGGAGGATCGCTTGGAGCCCAGGATATTGAGGTTGCTGTGAGCGAGGCTGACGCGACGCACTCTTAGCCTGGGCAACAGAGCGGACTCTGTCTCAAAAAAAAAAAAAAAGACGACAGCACGGAGGCCACTGAGCAGAATGGGTGCTGACCGTGTCAGGGGACGCAGCGGCCCTGAGGACTGGCGCACCACGGGCAATCCCGGAACCGCTGACGCACGCGCCGCGCGGGTCAGTTCAGAGCGAGCAGAGCGCACTCGGGGCTCCGTCCCAACGCCACCTTCTCTGACTGCTTGGCCTTCGTCACGGCCCTGCGTCCACGGCGCAGGCTGGAAACTGGGCTGCGCGTTGTCCTTGCTCTAGCTCAGGGGTCCTCAAACTTTTTAAACAGGGGCCAGTTCACTGTCCCTCAGACCGCTGGAGAGTGCGCACTGCGGGCTGGGGACACGTCGGCTGCTGAGCAGGACAGGCAGCGGCGGCAAAACACCCGGCGGGCCGGGTAAATGTGCTAGGTGGCCCGCAGGTGGCCCGAGGGCCGTGAGGACGCCTGCTCTAGCTTCTCAGAGCTTGTGTTGCCCTGCCTTGCGTCCCCAATCCCCTCATGGTGCCCCCTGTGTGACAAATGACCCCACGACAGAAAGCAAAGAGAAACCGTTTTGAGAGGTTGAGCGTGGGACTTGCGCACGCACTTGGGGGTGTCTAGCGCTCCGTGCCCACCTCTGGGATGCCCTGAGAACTGCGTCTACACCCTGAAGCCCGCACGGCTCCAGGAACCGGGCAAGATTTCATGTTCAGTTTTCATCTGGGGAGAAATCCAAGCTCCTTCTCCCTGGAATGTGCTAGAACACGTTTGCCAAACAACTAGGCATGGAACCCACCCCGTGGTCACTCCCACGAGATGGACTCACATTTGCGCTCTGAGCATTGAGCGCCCCTAAAAACCCAACCTATGAGACACCCTACCCTGAAGTTCCACGTGTCTGCAACTTTCACCTGTCATGGTGCTTAAAATGATCTGAAACGCTGGGAAGGACCTGTGTTTAAGCATTTCTGTACAGCGATGTTTTCTGGTAAACTCCCGTGACAGCGCGCAGGTGCACACGGCATGGGCGTTAGGGTGAGAGAGACCAGATTCGAATTACAGACCAGCCATCGATAAGCTTCCATCTCCTCTGACAAACTGGGAGGAAGCCAGCACCTGCTGCCGAATTAGTAACTGGAGGAGAAACTGAGGTCAAGAAGGCAAGAAGCTTAGGAAAGCCCCGGCACTCAGTGCGTGCAGAACGATCGGTAGCTTTCCCGATCCTTGCTGCCAGTGCCCTCGTCATTTTACGGGATGACACTGAGTCCTAACCACCACAGGAAAACCTGCCATAAAATCCAGCACCCTCAGTCGCTCGAGTATCACCAGGAGGGTCACCTGCGTGGGAAAGAGGAGCAAAGGGCACAGCTGACACGCAAGCGCAGGGCCGTGCTATCCTCTGCAGGGAAGCGTGTTTAGGCATCCATTTAATTGTAGAACCAAAAGGCAAAACAAACTGCTGAGAAATGCACTTGCGACACAAATTCATCTGTTGCTGCAGTTCCGGCCCGGCAGGCGGAGACATGCAGCTGTCATGTGACACACGTGAGTCACACGTGCAGTCCACGAGTGCGTCACGCGGCCTACCTCCTCCCCCGGGCTTGCTGGGTCCTCCGGGCGACAGCGGGCCATTGCCGAAGCTCGTCAGGCTCTCTCTTCTTCCCGAAGGTCTGATGTTTCCATAGTAACGGTTGACCAGAATTTGCCTGAGTGCCTCACCCTTAATCCAAACAGGACAATGACATCAGGTTCTGAATGTAAAGTGCAACTGAGAGACTAACACTCAAAAAAAAAAAAAGACACACAGGGGGAACTCAGTTATAATTGGCCTAGTTTCACTCAGCGAAAAGACAAATTATTAACAAAAGCATTTGGAAACTCTGAAGTTAACTGCAATATTTTCTCAGAAAACCAGATCATATTTTTTTAAAGGCAGAAATCTAGAATATTGACTATCTGAAGGACCCTCTCTCATGTAATGATAGGACATAAGAGTAATTTTGAAGGGCAACTAACAATAACAAAAATCTCTTTGGGGTAAGTTGATAAAAATTTGGTCAAATTGAAAATTTTACAGGTCAGCTCTCTACTCTCCAATATAAAAATGTTATTTCAAGCACAGGGTTTATTCCCAAGGTCCTAAAAAAATATTAAGCTATCAGAGCAATAGAGTATAATGATGTAAAAACCCAAAGTAAGCCTTTCTTATAAAAATAGTCAATGGGCCAAACGGTAAAGAAAAAAACAATGGAATGGGAAATGAATCAGTGGCAGATATCAGACACATCCCACCAAAAATAGTCAGCATGGATGAAAAGCCACTTTGTCTGGGATTTGCTTTAAAATAAACAGGGGAAAAGGGAAGGCGGAGAGGGACAGACTAGATAGTTTTTGAGGCTGAGCTACGAACGGGCACCGTCAAAATTCTTCTGACTTGTTTGTGTATGTTTCAACTTTTTCATAAGAAAAAGTTTTAAAAATATAAATATCAAAAGAATCCTGGACAGGGGGCTATAAGAGCTCTCGCTCATAACTCTAACCAAAAAAAAAAAAAGAACAACAACAAAACAAACCCACAGCACTTTGATTTGTTCATTGCTACAAATAAACAAATTTGGGGGGGGGATGGTGGCAAAACCAGCACAAAACAGATAGTCCCAGCTTTGTCACACCTTCAGCCATGCTCCTACCAGACCCTCAGACCCTCTTCTAATCTGCAGGTTTCTAAAAGTCAGAGGCTGGCTGAATTCCTTCCTCCTTCCCCAGGACAAAGTAGTCAGAGGTGAGTGAGAAGTCTAGCAGAGAGGGGAGGTGTTAAAATCTGGCAGGTCTCTAAAATAGAGACTCGAAAAAAGTTCTTCTGAAGAGACCTGCCACTGTAACATGAGTCAGTAGAATTTAAAGTGACTTGTTAATAAGCTCTGAGAATAGGTCTGGAGGTTTCAAGTCAGGTGTTTGCAAACAAGATAGAGGGCAGAAAATTCTGGGCTCTTGTCAACCCTCAAAATCGTGCAAAGTCCCAGGGCTACGGGGTCAGGTTTATCTTGCAATCCCTGCTGCTAGTCCAAGCCCCCGGGGACAGATTGGGATGGGGTGACAGGGTAGAGGTCGGGGAGATGGAGGAGGAGAGACTGATTTTTAAATGAATGTGCAGGAAACAGAAAATCCCAACTTTCCTCTCTCCATTTGACCCATAAATACATCCTCTCTCATCGTAGTTCTCCAAAGAAGGGTAACTTTTTTGAGCTCATAAAACTCATTCGCCACCTGGACTGACCGTAAATTCCAAAATTCCAAGAGAGCTTCAAATGGGGAAGTTATTTGTGATGTTTCAAGTACTTTTTAAACAAACTGCTCAAAGGCAGGGTAAAAAAAAATTCAGCACAGGCTTCTTTAACGGCTTAGAAAACCCCACTTTGTTTTAAAGATCCGGCTTTACTGGTGTTCCAGGGCTCGGGCACCAGGACAAACCCATCCATGCTCTCCAAGGAAGTCACTGGGAACACTGGGTGGCTTAAAAAGGCTGACTTTGAAAAAGAAACACAAATTTTAAAGGACCATTCAAGAAAACCCACAAAAAAAGAAAGGAGGGAAAGCAAAGATTCTCACAGTGTGGAACATGACAGATTAAATATGATTTCCCTCTTTTAATGTCCTGATGCATCTATTAGATTTTACTGTCAACAAGACATGGACTTCTGGTTCCAATGACAGGAATGGCAGGCAGTCAGCATCCTAACTCCCTAACTGCACCCCACTTTGGCACCCTGAGGACACTGTCTGAGAGGTGGCTGGCTGGCGGAGAGCTGTAAGCCAGGGAAGACGGCCAGTGCGACAAGAATCTGGAAGAACACAGGGCCGAATGGCCACGTCCAAAGAAGTATGGCCGTGAGCAGTCAACAAACAGGCATCCCTTAAAGAATCTCAACTAGACCCAACTCTACTTGGGGTGGAGTGATTCAGTTAGATTTTCAGGTCCTGGTGGTTGGTTCTGTATTTTTTTTCCCCCTCCCTCCCTGCTTTGTGGTTTTGAGGGTAAACAGCAAGACCCTGGGCAGTTGCAATCAGGCAGGCAGGAGGTAAAGAAAGGAGCACGTGGACTCCGGGAACTGGAAGTCCGCACTGATGCAGCCCGGGTGCCAGGTGAAGTCACCAAGGGATCTCACAGTACCGTTTTGCCTCTCCTTCCACGGAAAAACCCTAGCGGTTACCATAGCAACTGATGCATCAAATGGTACATTTTCCCCCATAAGAGAATATCATGAAATGTGCTCATTATGGGGGAAAAAAATAATTCCACCCCACAAACTTTTATTTTCCCCCCTCCGTCTTAATTATAAGGTTTTTGGCACATACTAATCTCACCACCTCTACTCACAAAAAAAATTAAACTGCAAGGGGAAAAAAAAAACAGAAAGCAAGTGGAATTTTTTTTTTTAAACAATGAATGGATGAGATGTATTTTTTTTGTTGTTTTTTTTTTTAAGGAATAAAGATTAAGAATTTTAGGTAAAGGGGACAGAAAAGAGAAAACAGATAAGAATTATTAAAAGTTATGTAAATCTCCAGTGTAAGCACTTGGGTTCAAGGAAAATTCTGTTTTTCTGAGCCAGTCGTTTAATTTGGGAAAAAATTAAAATCTGCAGAAAAAAAGCCTTCCTAATCATCTTGATATAAATTACTCAACAATCCTAAGCTGTTCACGATGTACCAGGCTGAGAAATCTGATTGCAGATGGGGAAAAAAAAAAGTGACTTCCCAAATAACGTCACTTCTTCAGCTTGAACATTTGGCTGTGCAACCCTCTTTAAAAATAATACCAGTTTTTTTTTGTTGTTTTTTTTTGCCAGCAGTTTACACCTACAGTATGCAAACAAATATCAGATGTTTGTCTCGGTAAGAAATTCCACGCACATTATTACCTAACACTGAGAAAAGAAGAAAAAATCAAGAGAGTTTCATTTGTAATAAATGTGAGGTTAAAACAATAAAAACTGGCAGATCGGTGGTGATGTGGAGCAAAAAAACCAAGCTCCTAACTGGCCACTGTGCTAAAACGACTCTCATTTATGTCAACGACACTAGCAGCTAATGAACTTACATGGGAACAGAGCCAGTGCTGAGCAAGGCACTAAGGGGTTAATATTTGTGCCATTTCGCTTCCCAGGTTCCAGCCGCTTAAAAATCATGTGCTTGGGGCAAGATCACCCTCTCCGGTGAGCTGTGAGCCTCTCACACCTTACTCAGCACTAAGGCAGCGACTGGATTTAAAAATACCTTCCTTTTCCTACTCCTGTTGCCTGCAAAATCGCCTAAGCGCTTCCGTCTGCAGGATAACGACTTAATACAGTAGTTAATATCCTGCGTAGTGTTCCAGCCACCGTGCTAAGTGCTTTTCAGACAGCTCAGTAGACGGTTCTAGGGGGTGGGGTCTACGATCCCATTTTACAGCAGAAGAAACTGAGGCACAGGGAAGTTGAATCATTCGCCCCAAATCACACAAGCTAGTGCCCGGCAAAAAGAGACATGAACGTTGTTTCTGGCTCCGAAGTTCTCGGGCACAGGCAGCGTCCGGTACCAAGTCCCCCGAGAGCTCAGGACATGAGGGACGCCCGGTGAGCCTCTGCCCCAGGCCTTTACTCCTAATCCCTGGGGGGACCGTTAAAGGGCAGGTGAGGATGGAAAATGCACGAATTCAGGGTGCCCCTGGTCCGCCCAATGACCCAGGATACAGGATGCCAGAGGAGATGAGCTGCGGCCCTGCACCCCGAATTCTGCTGCAACGCCTACTTCCTAGGAACTACTGCTCGTCTGACAAATCACGAAGTTTCTCTCTCCAGCAGAGGGAGAGAGCGGAAGGGACGGGGGAGGCGGGGACAGGGTGTGTGGCAGGACAAAGGTGCATCAGGCTACCCGTGGATAGGGCATAAACTCTCCAGGACACCGATGGCCGTTTTCTAACCCCATGACCTTGGGCAAGCTGCTTAACTTCTCTGAGCCTTGACTTCCTCCTCCGGGAAGTGGGGACGAAGGCCGGCTGTGTCGCCGGGTCAGAGGAGCATGAGTAAGAGTTGACGAGTGGACACAGGTCAAGAGCTTAGCGCAGCAACAGCGCATGATAAACTCTCGGGAAACCGGGCCGTGCAGCTACCTTCCGAAAATGGGAAACATAAAAATCAGCACGCTCGTGTCTGTGTGCCACTTAGCAGCAGATGGCTGGCAGGCACCACCAGCACCTTCCAGAAGTATCCACCCTTTGGCCCAGGAATTCCTCGTCTAGGAATCTATTCAAAGACACACACATTGGTTCGTGTCCTTGTCAAAGGAAGAAAAAAAAATGATGTACCATTTGTTAATTTAGGGGAGTTCAGGCAGCTGTGAACTTGCAAAGACTTAAAAAAAAAATGCTCGGATATAAAATGACAAAAGCCAGGTACAAAAGTTGTCTACTTAGGATCATCCCAATGGCAATGCGAGTGTGGATCTCTCTGCTGGCACCCGAGCTCATGTGTGTTAAAAAAAAAAAAAAAATGAGAGTAGAAGGAACTATTTATTAAAATGTTAGCAGCTCTTATGGCTAGGGAGAAGGAAATATTAGCTTATTAGTGGCCCTAATGGCTGGGTAGTGTAATTATGAGCCTTTTATTCATTATAATTTATTAATAAATTATAATGATCATCAGTTAATCAAAAAATTTTTTTCTAAGACTTCAGCTAAGGAGAAAAAGAAGGAAGGACATGAAAAGCTTACTTGGTCACTGTTTGGAGGCTGGGGACAGCGCTCTGACCGGGCACGTAAGAGGCAGAACTGCTGGTTAGTTTCACTCACGCCCATCGCTACGATCGCCCGAGTCAGTTAATGCTTTAACAGTGTCAACAACAACAGAAGCTGTCTTTCAATGACAGGTGCGGCAGGTGTTAGGGTCATTGGCTCCCATCAACCAAGACTCGAGGCTACGTACCCTTTTATGGTCTTCCAGCTGCCTCAGTGGTGGACTTGCTTCGACCTCCTGCTAAGCACGCAGAAATGCCACTTTAAGTGCCACGGTAAGCAGACACTGCCATCTTCAGCATCAGTCCCAGGCAAAACACACCGCGAGCTCACACGCGACACAGCCAAGAGTTACACGAAGGGAGAACAGGTCTGTTTTCGCTTTTCCCCCAAATCCTCATGCTCGATGACTTTAGACGCTGCCTAACCAATGCCCCACCCCCACCCCTCTTGTGCGCTGTTTAAAATGGGCAGATTCATGACTTTGGGGCCAACTTTATTGCAAAGATCCTGCAAAGGAAGTTCTATGTTATATATTGTCACATTAACCCAAAAGCGGATGTAATGCAAGACCCAACTGGGCAGGTCCTCAAGGTTCATACATGCAGCACGGCACAGCACATGCATAAGGACATCAATGCACACGCAGACACGGGACCACGGGGCTCGCCCCGCCCCACCCGCAGACAAGCACCCTAGCGAAAACCGTCAACAACGAAGAGCTCCGACTAGAAGGCTAGAGACTGGCCGCCAGCCAGCGCCCAGCCCGCAGCTCAGCGGCTTGATCGCGTGTTCTCCTTTCACTTTGTAATGGACTCCTTTCAAATAAAGTTCACTTTACACCCTGATCTACTGTGATTTTTTTTATTTAAGTTTCCAACATTAAGTTTTGAAAATTGGAACTATGGTTTCCTCAAAAAGCTTCTCTGTGATCTTTTTTTTTTTTGAGACAGAGTCTCGCTTTGTTCCCCAGGCTAGAGTGAGTGCCGTGGCGTCAGCCTAGCTCACAGCAACCTCAGACTCCTGGGCTCGAGTGATCCTCCTGCCTCAGCCTCCCGGGTAGCTGGGACTACAGGCATGCGCCACCATGCCTGGCTAATTTTTTATATATATATCAGTTGGCCAATTAATTTCTTTCTATTTATAGTAGAGATGGGGTCTTGCTCTTGCTCAGGCTGGTTTTGAACTCCTGACCTTGAGCAATCCGCCCACCTCGGCCTCCCAAGAGCTAGGATTACAGGCGTGAGCCACAGCGCCCGGCCGCTTCTCTGTGATCTTACGCACGCCGTTAATAAAGTTCAGTCCCTCATTTAGCAAGCTGAGCGAGCGGCAGGAAGGACAGAACCGAGCAAGGGCACCGTGAGACCACGAATCTACCGACGGCGCTAACGCCGTAAACGGATACCCAGAACGTCAGAGCTGTGCAGGACCCAAGTCGATTTTGTCTAACGTGGGTAAGGTCTTCACGCCCCTAATCTCTCTAGCGACATCTCCAGAACTAGGACAGCTTTAGGCGAGAACCTTCAAACAGCCCCGCCCCCGCGCCTGGAGGACAACTGGTCTGGCGCCAGCTTCTAGAACTTTCCATCTACGCCGAGAGCCACGGCCACGGCCAGGAGAGCCACGAGCAGTCCCCAGGCAGCCTCAGCATGACAACCCACAACTTGACCAGGCAGCTGGGCGGCGCCCGCATCCCGCACGCGACAGACACAGGGCGGCGACACACCTCGGCGGTGGCGTTCTCGGCATCCGGGGCTGGCGGCAGCTGCTTGGGGAGCAAGACGGAGCACGTGAGTCTCGGAACCGGCACCTTGGGGGCCACAGAGAAGTCTGGAGACCGACACTCGAGGACGGAACACGGGGAGGGGAGACCAGAGACGAGACGAGGCCACCTTGCTCCGTCGCCCCACCGGAGTGGGCTTCGGTGACCAAGGCGACCAGATACTTTGAAATCAAACTGAATGTGGTTGTGCTGGAACAGAAAACGGCCTGGGAAGGAGGAACACGTTAACAACGAGGGAAGACACCAGGCCGGGCGCGGCGGCTCACGCCTGTCATCCTGGCACTCTGGGAGGCTGGGGCGGGAGGATCGCTCAAGGTCAGGAGCTTGAAACCAGCCTGAGCAAGAGCGAGACCCCGTCTCTACTACAAATAGAAAGAAATTAATTGGCCGACTAATATATATAGAAAAAATTAGCTGGGCATGGTGGCACATGCCTGTAGTCCCAGCTACTCGGGAGGCTGAGGCAGGAGGATCGCCTGAGCCCAGGAGTTGGAGGTTGCTGTGAGCGAGGCTGATGCCACGGCACTCACTCTAACCCAGGCAACGAAGCGAGACTCTGTCTCAAAAAAATAAATAAATAAAAAAATAAAAATAAGGTAAGAAACCAAAAAAAGCCTACCACTGACCGAGAAGGAACTATGCGTCTTAAAACCCAGGTGTCAGAGGAAGGACCAGCCAGCGCACATCTGGGACAGTGTGGACAGAAGCACAAGTGACAGCGTGGGTCCCATGGAGGCTGGGGGAGGCGGGGAGGGGGCCCAGGTCACGCAGGGACCCAGAGCGCCGGAAAGTGCCACACGGCCGCTGTGACAAGCACAGGGCTCTCTCCTGCGTCCCTCCATTCTCCACGCCCCGTCTGGCCGCAGGGCTGAGACCCCCAGCGCTTGGGCGTAGGGGTGACTCGTCCCCGGGAGAAGCAGAGTCCCAGGATGACTTGGAGGATGGTCATCCCACCCACGTGTCTCCTTCAGGGGCCTCACGGGCCGGGGACCCGCCAGGCCATGCGGCCGCCTCCCCGCAGTCCGTCCCTTCTGGCCAGGACGAGAGACGAGAGGACGCCTCCGAGGGACCCGCCCGGCGTGTGTCATGGTGCACGCGGTGGCCACCGGCAGGTGGAGCCTGGGGACGAGCCCACTGCTCCACGAGAGGCCAGCGCCACTCTCTGCCTTCCAAGAGGACCGTGCCTGAGCAGGGGACTGATGTCAGACGTCACCGCCAGACCCCTCCCGGCCGCTCCGGACTGAAGTCCCGCAGCACCAGATGCACGGTCTGGGGCCAGGGCAGGGCAAGGCTCCCCTGCAACTGAGCGACCTTGGCCCATGGCAGAGCCCGGAGGCTGGGCTGGTATGCCCCTCCCGAGGCCAGGCGGTGGCCGCCGGGTGCAGGGCAGAGTCCCCGCTCGAGGCGTGCAGGAAGGAAGCCACGCAATGCGGCCCAGCTCGACTCGGCCCACTGGGGCGTTTAACCGCCAAGACGGAAAAAATCCTCTTCGTACAGGGCTGCTGTGTTATGCAACCTAACGCTTTCTGTCTTTTTTTTTTTTTTGAGACAGAGTCTCACTTTGTTGCCCAGGCTAGAGTGAGTGCCGTGGCATCAGCCTGGCTCACAGCAACCAAAAAACTCCTGGGCTCAGCGATCCTCCTGCCTCAGCCTCCCGAGTAGCTGGGACTACAGGCGTGCGCTGCCACACCTGGCCTGCCCGTGCGTGTTACAGCAGCCCGAGAGTAGACAGAGAGCAGCTTTATTTTCTAACATTTGCGTCAGCTACACGCCCACTGGCACATGACTTACACTGACCCTACAGGGTTGGAACCACAGGGTTACAGGCGTGGGTTTGCCATAGGGACCCCAGAGACACCTACACTCTCACTCCTTTGCCAATCAAAACAAAAGCTAAGGAAATAAAGGTGATGGAACTGGAACTAGTGTGTCATCTGTCTGCTCGAATTCTCTTGCCTGTGCTCTTTTTGTCCAGAGAAGCATCCTGAATTCCTTCAGGATGGCCACAAGTGGTATCTATCTGTTTCTTAGCCACTCGGAGAGCAGGGATTATGTTTTATGATTATACTGACACTGTTTCCTTCCTGAATTGTTGTCGCGCATATTTTACAATTAGTTTAATTATTTTTGTTTTATTTTTGAGACAGAGTCTCACTCTGTCACCCAGGCTGGAGTGCCGTGGCGTCAGCCTAGCTCACTACAACCCCAAACTCCTGGGCTCAAGCGATCCTCCTGCCTCAGCCTCCCGAGTAGCTGGGACTACAGGCATGCGCCACCACGCCTGGCTCATTTTTTCTATTTATAGTAGAGACGGGGTCTCGCTCTTGTTCAGGCTGGTCCCAAATCCCTGACCTCAAGAGATCCTCCTGCCTCGGCCTCCCAGAGTGCTAGGATTACAGGCATGAGCCACTGCGCCCGGCCTAATTAATTTTTAAGAACTCAATTTAAATTACCTTGGTTTTCCTTAAACCAAGGAAAGGTCTGATAAAGAGAGGATGCTTTGCAGCTTCAGGAATCAGCATCCAACCAGAAGGACAATTTTTGGTGCGGTCCATTCATGGAATAGACTGGAAAACCTGAGAGCACTGGACATGTGTCATGTGACCACAGCTCACCAAGAGCTTGGCTCTGGCTGTGTGACCCTGAGCCAGTCACTGAACCTCTCTGAACAGGCTTCTGACCTGCTCAAGGAGGCTGGGCAGATATTCTTTACGATTCCTTCCAGCTAAAACATTAGGTCATGCTTGGGATATTTTCAGTAAACTTCATTTCCTAATACCTAACAAGCAAGCGTCCGAAATAACACAACTGGCTGGGACACAAAACACTTCCAGCCACAGAAAAGTCCAGACCATACCTGGTATATAACTTGGTAAAACAACCAGCAGCCCATACTGCATGCTTCCTCCTGTAAGGATTTTGGCTAGGTTTCCCTGAGGATAGGTTTATTTTACAGCAGTGAGCTGCAGTTTTGATAAAACATAAGCATTTGAATGAACGATGTATGTTCAAAGTAAAAGCTACACAAACACAAATATCATGTCTAATACCCAAAGCAAAAGATCATGTTTAATAGATGAATGGACTCACAGTTTTATCATCAAAGTTAATTTTTTTTTAGCATGAAAACTGAAGCCCTCGGTGAACACATTTTAAGGGAGGGTGTCTGGGAGCCCGGGCGTGTCTGAATTTCTCACGTTTTCTATCCCCTCCTTAGTCTCAAGCACAATCACTCTATTTCAGTGTTGACACCGCCAACCAAGGTGCATTTCCCGCACTCCCAGGGGCTCCACAATGATCTGACGTGGCCTACTTTTGATCTCAGACACTAATGACTGCCCCGTCACCTCCCCATATCGATTGCTTAATCGTCAGTCTCCCCCATGTTTGTAGACAAGGTCAGTAAAACCTAACTTAAGAGGGGAAAAAAGACTCCCAATAACTGGCTTTTAAAGAGAAATTGGAGGGCCAGGCGAGGTGGCTCACACCTGTCATCCTAGCATTTTGGGAGGCCGAGGTGGGAAGATCACTCAAGGTCAGGAGTTCGAAACCAGCCTGAGCAAGAGCGAGACCCTGTCTCTACTAAAAACAGAAAGAAATTAATGGGCCAACTAAAAATATAGAGAAAAACTTAGCCAGGCATGGTGGCACATGCCTGTAGTCCCAGCTACTTGGGAGGCTGAGGCAGGAGGATCGCTTGAGCCCAGGAGTCTGAGGTTGCTGTGAGCTAGGCTGACGCCACGGCACTCTAGTATGGGCAACAGAGTGAGACTCTGAATCAATCAACCAATACAAATTCAGAACGCATCTCAAGTCCCTGAACCCTAAGTGTCCTTCCTGGGTGTGGCCACTGCTCTGGGCATCATGACAAAGGTCCTGGAGTGTGTCCGGGTAGGTACAGAGAAGACGCCACTGACCTAATCTAGTCGCTTCCAATACACGCACAATTGCCCAGCGTTTACCAAGGGAGGAGTTTCTACTGTCCATGAAAGGAATTGTACTTTGTCATTCTTACATAAAAAGCAGCCCTCGGACTTCCTAGGGAACGCCCTTTGCTTTCTACAGCCCTCCACAGGAATCCCCCTGCTGCTGCTGCCCTTGGGCTTCCAGAATGTTCCTTTGCAAAAGAATGTCTTCTTTCTGTGGACCACCCTGGGCAGAAACTGAATGCGATTCAACTGCATTCAACGCAACTGCAGTCTAGACCCAGTTATCAGCACGTGGAAGGGATTACACGTACAGCCCTGCTGAACGGTCTTCAGGGTTCCTTTCCATTCACTCCTAACCCGGAGCAGGGAGACAGGCAAGCAGCGAACGGGCTTTGCAAACACGGTGCTGGGCCCTGTCCTTCCTCAGCCTCTGAAAACCCACGTCGAGAGCAGAGAAAGCCTTAAGGAAAATTAAGCTAAAATAGAAATTACCTAGCATGTCAGCAGAACAATTTTAAATCTTCACAACAGCTAAGGCAATTCTCTTTACTAACTGCATTCATTTGTTTGGTTTTTTTTTTTTTAGAAACAACACGAAGTAAACGTTACTTACTCCCAACACTGTAGTTTCACTTGTATTTTACAGAACAAGTTCATCAGAACTCAATAGTGAAGTTCATTTTTTTTAAAACATGCATCCTGACATGACTACATTATACAACTTCGATCATCATGGAATAATCTCAGCATGAAAAGAAAAAAAAAAACCAAAAACCAAAAAACACAACTTCCCCCAGACTCGGCAACAGCTTCTGTGAGCTCCGAGCTGGGCTTGCTCTGTGGCTGCCAGTGTGTGACAGTAAACAGCCCGCTGCCTCTATTGGCAATTACTGCTGAAGGTCACACAGCAGCGGCGAGCCTAAATTCCAGGAAAAAAAGCACTTATGTAACCGCCGCCTGAATGCTGGCAGGCGCCCAAGCGGCAGTTCACAGCCGCGGAGAGAAACTAGGCCACCTCCACCCCGGCTGGGCGTCATCAGAACGCCCCCTGAAGGTAGACTTAATCATCCTGTGCATTGTTTCTCCTCCCCCCACCCCCTCTGAATTTTACAAAGTTCCCCGTTAGTGGCATCTTTTGCAACTCAAGGTGGAAGCGAATGAGGAATTCACATGAGCAGGCTGCGGCCACCCTGAACAGCTGGGAACGTTGCTTAGCTTTTTTTGTTGCGATGCAGGACAGCAGAGCCACCAGCAGACCCAGCGGCTCTGGAGGTTCCATGGTTCCAAGGGACAGTGACTACTCAGTGGGGATCGCGTCTCAAACGCGCAGCAATGGGCCCGTGCATTGAGCTTTCTAAATGCACCATTCCCTTCTCTGCGTGCACTCCTGTCCGCCTACCGCCTCTGCCCCAGGTCTGAGTGCCTGGCCACAATCACCCCTGATTAGCGTGACACTTCGCCGTTTAGAGAAGTGACTCCCTGCTGCGGATCCTCACCTGCCATCCCCTGACCTCCTAGGGAACACCCTTTGTTTTCTACAGCCCTCAACAGGAATCCCCTTGCTGGCCTGGGGCTTCTAGAATGTTCCTTTGCAAGAGAATGCTAGAAGGGAGAAGTGCATGGAATCATGGGAACATGGAACCCGGCGGCTTCTATGTTACCTGACCTCCCTGCTTACACAGAAGTCCCCGGTTCCAGGTTCCCATGATTCCATGCAGTTCTCCTTCCTAACACTTCTCAGGGTTGATGGCTGTCACTGTGCATGAATTCGAGTGACGGTCCATCGGCCTCCCAAAACTGTGAGCTTCGGAATGGCGGACCCTGTGCCCATTACGGGCACCCCAGCACCCACTCCTGCGACACGCTGCTGGAACACAGAAGGCCTCGAGTATTAGTCGTGTGAACCTGTGTCGTTAGCTTCAGCTTGTGCCTGCTCTGGGCCAAGATCAGGCAGACGAGGGGACTTTCGGGGTGATTCTGTATCCTGACTTAGGTGGGGGCCACCCAGGTGACCGCCCAGCAAGCTCTGAGTGGAGGGACACTGAGGCAAGGAGTCTGTCTCTCCTTCACTGTGCCCGTCCCCAGTCCCCAGCCCCAGCGGGGAAGAGAAAGAAACAGGGGGTGAGGATGGAGACCCTATTTGTTTGTCAAAAACCCTTCCTCTTCCTGGTTTTGAACAGCATTTTACTCTAGAAGGCAGCTGGGAAGGCCCCGTCCTCCCGAGCTCTCATCTTGCGATGGACTCCGCGACTGTGCTCGCCTCACGCCGCCTTCCCGCACAGCCACGGGCCTCCGCGCGTCTCTCGGGACCCGCCCGGCCTTCACCATCACGGGCGGAGCCCTCCTCAGTCCGGGCACCGGGGCTGCCAGACAGGCCTCGCCCCACCCGGGGGCCGTCCCCCGGTGCGCAGAATCCGCAGCGTTCGCCGTGCCCGCTCGGGGCCGCCCGCGACGCCCGCCACCATCGGCCAGCCCGCGGGCTCCAGCAGCTCACGCGAGCAGAGGCCTGGCGGGGGCCGCGGCGGCTTCCGGAAGGGCACCGATGACAAAGGCCAACCAGGCATCTCCTCCGAGGGGGCCAGACCCGCCAGCCTGAGGGACCGGGCACAGGGTGTCGGGGTCCCTGGGCTCTGACAGTTGCCATGGTAACAGCGCAAAGGGGATCCACCGTGGCTTCTTCAGGGAATTTTCAAAGAACCCCGAGTGGCTGCCAGAACGTTCTTCTTTTATAAACAGACAGTATCCTATTTCCCAGAGTATAATTATAAACACACCTGCTCCGACTGCGGAATCTTTCCGAGAGGGAGCAGTAAGCCCCAGCCAGGAGACCCGAGTTCTATCCTGGGCGAGCAAACACGTCCGCTGATGACTGTGGTGCGGAACAGCATATCCACGACACCGCACACGCCCATCGGGGAAGCTTTTCCTTCCCTGACTTAATCTGTACCTCGGCAGACAGAGACCCAGCCTCAGTATTTCAGAGGAAAAATTTAGATCAGCGAGGCACTCGCAACTCTGGGCAGAAGCAAGGGCACCAGAGGGGCCAACGGCAATCTGCCCAGGACATTTTTGCAGCATACAAATAACGCAGGAGAGGGAAAAGCTAAAGAGGAAACAGCAAAAACCGCCGTAGGCAGAACAATGAATGAAGTTGCTCTACTCCATTTCGCCCTCTGCACCTTCTAGTCATCCCAGAAGGCGTGGCCTCCTCACCTGTTCGTGCCTAATACAAGGAAGATTCTGCACTTAGGGACCTCCGCAAGTGCAGTAGTAAGCACACTGCAAGTAAGTAGAACAGTAGTAAGCACATCAGGCCAGAAGCCACGCCAGCTGTGGCTGGTCCTAGTTTAGCCACTCTCTAGCTGTGTGAGCTAAGACTAGTCACTAAACCTCTCTGAGCTCTGTTCCTGAGGCAAGTGGACCAAATTCATAACCACTCGTTGTTGGCTTTCAGTTTCAAGTCTATAATTCAGACTCTACACTTGGGTATATCTGAACCATTTCTTAGTATTCCTGAAATTAAGGTATTAGAGTAGACAACATGTTCTATTTGGTGTCCCTATCTCAGCCAAAATGAGGTACTCACTGGTCTACCAAAAAAAGAACAGGTAAGTAGACCAGAAAAGTGATTTTCAAAAGTTAAATAAAATTTTATTCCAATGTGCCAACCCATTAAATCCTCTCAATTATATACATTAATCCCAATTAATTTTTTTCTGGTACCATTTACCCAACATGTATTGTAGCCAAAAAAAAAAAACAAACAAAAAAAAAACCATATAGCAAGGAACGTTGAAAAAAATATTCAAAACAAAAGATATTTAAGAGGACCCCAAATCCCAAACAAAACCACAACTTGTCAGTCTCCAGGGTAATTCTGAGGAAGGGAAACTGATTTGACGCGTAAGTGCAGTAGGCATCGAATGACATTCAATTTCTGGATCTACAGGCCGTTTTCCTAGAAGAGAAGCCAGGACGTGGGACAGTCCTAATCTCACTGGTGAGCCTATAGGTGGCAAGTCTCAACTAGCACTTTGGAATTCACAATGCACCTGGAAAAATTTTATACGAATACTCAACATGCAAACCAAGAGAGTAGTGGGTTTTTTCTGTGTTGTTTTTGTTTGTTGGTTTGTTTTACTACTTTCAAACTATACCAAGGCCGTTGTGCCTTTTTTCATTCGATGCTTTACCTGCAGCTGGAGGGGCTCTTTATACTAAAACCGAAATTGAGTTTCAGAGACACATTCATGGCCAGCATCAACCACAGATTCAGTTGATATTCTCGACAGCGAATGATCGAAATCTTATTGCAGTTAAGAAAATCTTTATCTAGACTCAGATGGGATCTGCAAGGACGAATGTCAAACAAACTCATGGGAAATGCCAACACAGACACGACAGACACCACTCGCTCCCGGAAGCCACGCGACACACAGTCAGACACTCGCCGCGGGGACCACGGGACGGTCACAGGGCGAACTCGGGGAGCGGCGTGGAAACACCACCGGGGGACATTAAAGACAAAACAAAAAAAAACAAGGAAATTAGGACCTCAGCATTGTCCAATTCATCAATGGAAATTAGCTGGAAAAGAAAGAAAAGGGGAGAGAAAGAGAAGGAAACGTTAAGAAAGGAAACATAATAAGCCCAGCCAAGTGTTAAAGAGACTTTGCAAAAAGTGTTCTTACTGCTGCTGAGCTTTCACCTTGAAACATCATGACCGTCTTAAGACACTGCCACGGCTCACAGCAGCACCCTCCTGGGACCGGCCACGCTCGAGTCCCACGTCAGCCCTGCGGTCCCCTGGGCCCTGCTCTCACTTGTACATGTGAAAACGTGAACTGAGCCAGGAGCAAGGGCAAGTTCCCCAATGCTACTATTATTATTATTATTATTATTATTTTCAGAAGAGGGTGATGAGTAAAAGACTAGAGCAGCATCAATCATGTTCAGGAGCAAAATCTCTCTTTAGACTCACTGTGCAATCCAGTGGCGGGAGGAACACAAATTGCACACCGAGCTTTAACTTCCTTCTGCAGGTGGTAAGACCGAAATATCCCCGGCCTGATCCTGATGATGCTCCAGACCCCGGTGCCGTGGATGATTAGGGGAAACTCCATCCCCCCAGAGATGCATTAGCGCTGACTCAAGTGACATTGGTCACATGGACTCATTAGCATCAAGTTGGGGGGGGGGACCCAAGAGCATTATCGCAGTCGTGCTTGTTTAAGGACAGAGGAATAATCATCAATCCATTTGATCGTGCTTCTTTAATATTAAGTACATTTTGCAAATAAGCTGCTATCAAAAACACCAGCAGCTAGAAATGCTAGTGCTCTACTCACGTAGAGCAGAGACGCCTTGGTCGTTCACAGCGGACTGACAATCTGTATGACATGAAAACCCTGGTGTTACCTAGGGTCAAATACTCTTCTAGTACTAAAACAGCTACTACTATTCAGAAGGGAAAACAGATTAAAAATAAACTCTGAGATATCCTTATCCATTAATTCCCGGTCTCTGAATTTCTTTCCAAAACTCTTTGGCTAATAATGTAAGTCAACAGCGTTTAAATAAAGAACCTGCAGTAACCTACAGAGCAGCCAACACATAAAACAACTATGCTGCCTTTGCAAGCAGGGTCCAGGGCAAACTGTTTAAACAAGGGCCAGGTCACTGTCCCTCAGACCGTTGGGCAGTGCGCACTGTGGGCCCCGGACCATCGGGCCGTAGTTTGAGGATGCCTCGATCTAAGGGCTTGAAGATTTTCTGAGCTATAGAGGGATTCAAATTAAACCTCAGAGATATTTAGCTAGGGGGGGTTATTTTCTTTACAACACAGACACGGTTTAACCTGCAGATTAAAAGCAGAGTCCCGTAGGCATTGCACGCCAACTGTGTTTGTAAAGTCCTGGTAGAACTTTAAAGCTTATTAATTTTGAATACGTGGGACAGAAAGATATTGTAAGCACCGTGCACAAACGAATTTCACTATTATTTTAATAGGCCATAATTTAAATGATTATTTTATATTTACCACTCTGAGAAGAATATGCATTGGTGATCATCCTTTGCATTTTAGCATCGTAACAGTTAACGATTTTTTTTTTCATTCTTTAGCGATCATGATTAAAATCTTGTGCTCATCTTCTTCAGCCAGCCCCTACCTCTCAGCGTAAGTGACAGTTCTGGGGTGGGCCCTTCATGGGGCAGTGGACCAAGACAAGGGGACCAACCACTTATCTGAGTCCTTCGTATGGGACTTGATCAAAACTACAGGTGTCAGATGACCCCTGGGACAATCACAACTTGTGGAGTCACTTGGCATCAACTGGAGACTCTCATCAATCAGGTGAAAAATCAGAACTGAGCTGAAGCTCCCAAGTTCGAGCTCTGCTCCCAGGGCCCCTGGCCCGGAGGGTTCAAATAACCGTGTAATATACTGGAAACGTAAATGTTCAACCCGCAGGTGGATGTCAAAGCCCTCGAATGGTGTCAGTCTGTTCCCTGATGAAGCAGAAGTGAAGAACGAGGCCCTGGAATCGGACCACCTGCCTGGTTTTGAATTCCTGTCTCCCTTGTTATTAGCTGTGTGACCCCAGGCAGATGTCTGAACCTCTCTGAGCCTGTATGTTTTCTCCCTTGTGTAGAAAAATAGTTTAAAACAACGGTGATATCCACCTCTGAGCCCATCAGAGGCGAGGTAGGAAATGTGCTTAGCATAGTGAGTGGCACTTAATGGGGGGTCAACAAATGTTAACGTTGTCACTCACGGCATCCTGTTGGGGACTGGTGGGTATATGCTTGGTGACATTTAAAAAGCACAGGTCAGTCTTACAGCGATGCTGGTATGTTTTAGTCTATTTGGTAACACGGGTGATAGTTCTCAATGGCCTTCTTTGTGTTCCAGGCGAGCGAACCCACGCAGCACCACTAACATTCTTGAACCAGATAGCAAAGAACGATGCCGACTCTCTCTTTCATCTTGACCTTGAGAACTGAGTCCCAAAGTTGAACGGAAGAGGAGAGATGCGCACAGGCACCCAAGTCTCACTGCCTCTAAGGATCCCAGCTTAGAGACACGACAAGAAAACCTGACCTGTGTACAGTGGGCACCGGCTGCAATGGGAGCTAGAGGGAGCACTGTATTGGGAGTCCAGAAACCTGGATCCAGGCTTGACCCCACTGCACTCATGACACAAGTCCCACGCAAGAGACAACTAACAGGAAAACCGGGACGGGAGGAGGGACGCCCGCCCTGGTGTCCTCGGCACGCAGGCCAAAGAACACCGCGTTCGTTTCACCCACCGCTGCCAGCCGGTTCGCCTGGGAAAGGTTAATTCTTTGGGCCCGGGGAGCGCCCACCCTTGAAAAAGCTGGCCTGCCCCGTGCGTGTCACGCTCCTTTAATCAAACGGGGACAGCCAGCCAGTAAACCACCAAAAGCGTCTTCACAAAAAGCCTTAATGGAACAAAGTTCCCGGCAGCCCCCAGGTGGAGAAAGAAGACGGCTCCGCTTAGCGCCTCCCTGCCCGGCCTCTTTCTCGTGGGGCGTCGGGCCGGAGGCTGCAGGGACGAGCTGCAGGTCTGGGAGCTGCTGGCCGGCGTGGGTTTCTAGAACGGCGTCCTCCGTTTCGTGGCACTTCCCAGACTGACCTGGGGTATTCTGACTTGCAGGAAGCAGGGTGACAGCCCCAGCCAGAGCGGCAAGAGATGTCACCTTTCCTCCAAGCCTCTCCGCTTAGGCGTGAGTCATTTCTTCACCCTTCGCTGAGAGGGCTGGGAGTCGAGCTCAAGGCCCCCTGCTAACCCTGATGATTCACTCTCTCACAGCGACCCCTTGGGGTCCCCTTGAGCCCAGGCCCTGTCATTCTCTGTGAGCTTTGTAACAGGCACCACTGAGACGTCTCCGATGTGACACCTTCCCTCATCTGGAATGTTCCCCCAGTTGGCACTAACGGGTGGGGAGAGGAAGTGGGCAGCACACCTTCCTCCTGGCCCCAAAGACCCCAAAACACCTGTCTGCCGTGCAACAGAGACTCAGAAAACTCGGACAGTACTTCCAGGTTAGAAAAAGACAACTGCAGGCAGCTGTGTGTATAATCACAACTTCCAACATTCACGAGAGTAAAGGCACCACGGTTTACATATCTTGGTGATACAAACAACAGCTAGTCCACATAAAATTGTGGTTTCCGTATTTGGAAAATCAAGTTTTATGCTCACAGATACAAATATATTCACTCTGCTGGTTAAGGCCCCAGTCCCTTTGGTAGACTTGACCTTATTATGGAGAATCAATTTCTGTCACCAGAATCATATCTTACAAACATTTCTAAAACCTCACTTTTAATGAAAGATGAAGATCTCATGAAATAAATGGTTATTATTTGTGGGTCTGATAAGTGCATTCTCCCTGCCATCAGTCTTTCTCCTGTTTCCCATCTTTCTTTTTTTTTTATAGAGCAAGACCTCCCTAGGTGCCTATACTGGTATCTGTCATCCTACCACTTCTCATCTTCTTCCCTTCTAATATTTATATTTATAAACTCTTATCCTCCGCAAAATTCCTACTGAGTTACAGAAACCTGTTTTCTAATTAGTCAACATTTATTCACCTTTTCATTTATATATTTCCAAAATGTAGAGTGACATTTAAAAGCCTTGCAACTTGGGGACAGTGAAGGTATGCACACTAAAATAATGACTGTATATTTTCCTGCTTTCTTCTCCAGGGACTCTCATTTGTTACACCACTCCAATATTAATGAGAAATGTCACTCAGGTTAGAAAATAGCATTCCTGTAGACAGACTTTTATACTTTTTTTTTTAATTATTATCTTAATTTAAATTTTTTTTTCCTCTTTGCGTCAGGCTTTGTCCATGTCTTTAGAACTTTTATACTTTTGATGATCTGGTTGTCCCCAACCATTTTGACAAGGAAGGTGGTGATTTAATTATCAAGGCTTCTTCCCAGGGCTGAAAAAATAAGTTACTGGGGTATTCTGATTAAGTCAGTCATATCAGTGTATTCATCTACTCAGACATTGTTGCTACAAGTGGCCAAAGTAGACAGTCAGTGAATGTTATTATATTACCTTCAATTAAAATGGGTGAGATTTAACCCTATGCTCATGATTTTTTGCTGGGGGGCTGAGGGAAGAGGCCATGGGGACCGTTTCTGCCCTGCTTTGCTCACTGGCGGAGGGAGTGACTCCACAGGTGTGCTTAGGTGGAACCCCAAATTCAGGAATGCATACTCTGACACACAGAGGCGTTTGCTTTTCACTGGGAATTTAAACAGATAAAAGAGCTTGTTATTATTACTTCTCTGACCTCAGATTACGCAGCAAGCATGTAAGAGACAGCTCAGCACGCGTGACTTTTAAGCAGTCCTATGACTTAACTACCTGTAGGGGCAGGATAAACAGCTTCAGAGCAAAAGTTAGCCCCTCAGTCAGTGGCGCCTGAACTAGGGCGGGTTTGTAAGCACCACCCCCTGCAATGTAACAGCGAGACGTGTGCTTTATCGTGAAAATAAGACGCAGTACCTTTTCCCCATACCCTCTGTCTTTGGTCATCATTTCCCTGAGGGTCTGCAGGACTTTGATGCAGAGTTTCTCCTCATTTTCCTCCAGCAGCTGCTTCGTATGCTTGATTAACCTGAGCGGGGAAAGGAAACCACGGATTACATTCCCAGAACCATCTTTCAATTACAAACACTTGACGAGCAATTTATTGCAACGCGTCACAGTTAGTGAACGGGCTCCAGGGGCAAACATGCTTTCCCGCCTTCCCCGCGCTGAGAGCCGCCCGCGTCTCAACGGCGACACCTGCTGGCCGGTGACGGCAGGCGTCGCCCCCACAACGGAGAGATTATCCGGGCAGGAGAGAGCAAGGACAGAGGCCCTCTCAGACCTGCTCGGTCATAAGCGTGGCATGTGTCCACTGAGGGCTGCCAGTAAAACGGCTAAAACATGCCAACGTGTTTCAAAAAAAAAAAAAAAACAAAACTTCAGACTTGAGTGGCTGGCAAAAAAATAAATAAAAAACACCTCCTGAAGCTGACGGCTGGGCCAAGACGCACTGCTCCCTTATCCACAAGCTTGTCCTTAGGGCGCCCAGAAAAGTAATAAAGTCACGGGCAGAGCCCAGGACTCCAGCTACACAAACAAGTAACCTTAGGGCAAAAGCCTAACGGAGATTTCTGGTCATGGGACCCTTGCTTCTTTCTAGATTATGCGCCAAGGCATAAAGTGAGAAACGACAAAACTGTTAGGAAAAGATGATGAGGTCACGGGCACCCAACGATCTCGGAGGGTCGTGGCTTTTCTGTGCGTGGGCCGCAGCCATGGCGGGTGCCCTGTAAACATCCGCCGAATGGAAAAAAACGAATGAGCGGGCACGCGGCGAACGCGAGAAACGCCCACCGGACCAGAACAGAGGAGCAAAGCAACACAGTGTCGACAAGCCGGGGTTCACGGACACACTCACGTTTCTGCACGTTAGCACACGACCTCGCATTCGTCAAGGTCAACAGCCAGGACAACGGTCTCCCCCCCCTCCGGGGACAGGCGCTGTCGGCCGTCCAGGCCTGGCCACCGGCCGCCCCGGGGGGAGAGGCTGCTTACTTGCAGATGAAGCCGCCGCTCTCGCACTTTCTCCTGGCGTCCGTGTTCTCGGGGAAGAGCAGCTCGGGCCTGTGCAGCACGTCCACGAGCACGGACAGCTCCGCCTGCACCAGGGGCCGCAGCCGGTCCTCCAGCGCCGACACGATGTCCTGCAACGGGACCGCGGCTCGGGCAGCGGCTCGGGCAGACGCCGGCCGCTCGGGGGACGACACGGACTTCTGTCCCAAAACATGAGCTACCACACAGGCTAGGCCAGGCCAGGCTAACTTCAGCACCGCCTGGCGTCATCTCAAATGATCAGACACTGCCCGGTGGGCACCTGAAAGCATTAGCCCCGGTGCAGAAAACAAAGCAAAAACACATCCACATGCCCACCGCCCCTTCTTTCTTTTTTTTTTTTTGAGACAGAGTCTCGCTTTGTTTCCCAGGCTAGAGTGAGTGCCATGGCATCAGCCTCGCTCACAGCAACCTCAATCTCCTGGCTCAAGCGATCCTCCTGCCTCAGCCTCCCGAGTAGCTGGGACTACAGGCATGCGCCACCGTGCCCGGCTCATTTTTTCTATAATATATATTAGTTGGCCAATTAATTTCTTTCTATTTATATTAGAAACGGGGTCTTGCTCTTGCTCAGGCTGGTTTCGAACTCCTGACCTCGAGCGATCCGCCCGCCTCGGCCTCCCAGAGTGCTAGGATGACAGGCGTGAGCCACCGCGCCCGGCCACCACCCCTTATTTCGAGATGGCCTTATGAGACTCAAGGGATCATTCCATATAATTTACGATTTAATGCAACAACTACATTTAACAACATGTGAAAGATGTCTACGATATGAGTATAAAAATGGTCAAACAATAGTATGAACTCTATGATCCTATTCTTATAAATAACATCAATATCTAAAGGATAAACATCGACTACTGTTAAATCATCGCTTTTGCTTTTATCTGGGTGGTGGGATTACAGGTGATTCTAATTTTCTCCCATACAGCGAGTACTTGTCAGTGTTGTCTAATTATTTTCAATGAGCATGAATTATTCACACAATAAAAAGTCATACAAACATGAGAACACAAATGAATGAACATGCCGTATCAACATGCTAAATACATGTACCCTGATAGCATGATGGTCTTCAAATGCAAAACACATAGCTGTAGGAAAGGAAAACAGAGAGAAGTTGAAAGAGCAGCAAAACCAACACAACAAACACCATTTAAAGGCAAATGATAGAAAACAGATGAGAAATTATCTTCAAAAGATGCTAAAAGCCTGCTCTATGGCTTGGTGACTCAAAACCTAACCAGAGGCACGGTGGCTAAAACAGGGGCCACAGGACGTTGGTTAATTCAGGAGGGCCTAGTTACCCAAGGACATTTGCACAGGAATGCCATTTAAGTTGCATTCACCTCAACTAGAGACCCAATTAGGGTCCAGGAAAGAACGGACTGATCTTTTACCCAGAAACTAAAACTAAACCACATGGAGATAATTTCATCTTATATTTAACAAACTCTGGGTGATCACTGTGACTACTCGATAATATCAGCATGCATAAAGAAATGCATGGATCAATTAAATGATTTCTTTGGAGGGGCAGTTTTCCCAACAAAATCATGAGATAGTACATTGCAAGATCCCTTAAAATGCATGCTGATTTTCACAGCATAAGTCAAAAACAGGGTCATTTTTGCAAAATTCTCTTGAGGGTCTTACCACTTTCCTCTACAGTTTCCCCTTTGCAAGCACCCTGCCAATGCTCTCTTCTCCAGTAGCAGGTACTGGTCCTAAGTCTGGCAAACCTTCGTGTATGGTGTCTGCGTGGGATTGAAATCATTCTTTCACATCGTGTTTGTGGATGTCACGAAATCCCGCATCTTTTGCAAAGTTTTGAACTTTGCGTTGCAATTCATTTGCATTGTATTGTCAAATGCACAGCAACCGGGGGAGACACCAACAGAGACGGCGAAGCGATGGGTAGGGCAGATGCCAGCGTCACGTCTAAACGGGGGTCGTCACACGCCAGTCGTCAGTTCCTGAGCGAATGTCTCACGACACCTTCTGCTATCCTAGGCGACTTCACAACGACAGGGACTCAGACGATAAATACTGAGGATCCCTTAGGCCACTGGCCAAGTCTTTACAGCTGTCTTCCCCTTCATCTCCCAAGAACATGCATGGTAAGTCTAAGAAGAGCACAACAGACTGGGGCGCTTGACTGCACTGATCCCTCATTTAGCTTGAGCAGGTAAGAAAATGCTGTGTGTTCCTACGGGGACGTGTCTACAGTGCCCCTGTGGTTTCTATTGATAAAAGCACAGCGGGCTCAGGAAGCTCTCCATCCGGAATCAAGCCCGGTTCTGGGATGACAAAGCCTGGAATGCTTTTCTTTTCATTTTTTCTTTTTTGAGACAGAGTCTCGCCCTGTCGCCCCAGGTAGAGAGCAGTCGCGTCCTCATGGCCCACTGCAACCCCGAATGAATCTCTGAACTCGATGCATGAAACCCTGACGACACCCCCAGGTCCGTGGGGGCTCGGCCACACCGCCCTCCCTTTGGTCTCTGGAATGCACCGTCCTTTCCGCCTGACGGTCCTTACACCTGCTGCTTCCCTTCCTTTCACTCTAAGTCCCGCTGTCCCTTCTGAGGTCAGCTCAGACGTCACTTCCTCCACAAAGCGTCCCGACTCCCACGCCCCGAGCCCAGGCAAGGTTAGGCTCTTCCTCGGAATCTGCTCTCCCCTCCTCTGTCACACGGTCCCTCTCATCATTTTATGCTTAAAATTATTCTCCCTCTCCCCTCCAAAACGTGGGACACAACGAAGACAAATACCATTTCTGGTTTTGCTCACCCTTCCACCCTCCTAGTCCTAGCGTGAGGCTGTGGACAGGGGTAAGCTACATAACCTCACAGGGACTGATGGCCTCCTGACAGTAACTATTATAGTAGTAACAACCGTAGCTCTCAACTGAGTGCTCGCTACATGCCAGAAACTGCTCTAGGTGCTTTGAGTCGTATTCTCCATTCGTGGCCACCACAATAGATCCTATCTCACGCGTTCTTCTTACAATGGGATACCGACATCCCTCCCATCCAGAGCTGATCTACATTCCTCCCTGCCCTGGAACTTCAGCGGACCTCGGAAACTACCTTGACCAACACGGCACAGCAGAGTGACGCTGTGTGACGTCTGAAGCTAGGTCACAAAGACGACAAAGCATTCAAACTTGTCTCTCTCTCTCCAGAAATGCTCGTCTTGGGACCCGGCCGCCATGTTGTAAGGAAGCCCAGGCCACATGGGGAGGCCACATGGGGAGGCCACACGTATCAGCAGATGAGTCAGTCAACAGCTCCATCTGGGAGCCCACCTAGCAACCGGTATCAACTGCCACACACGTGAGCGAGCAAGAGGTCACAATGAGTGCGACCACAGTCACCACCTGAATGCGACCTCCCGAAAGACCCTGAGTGAGAAACGCCCCACCGGGCCAAGTCAACCGCAGAGCAGCAAAAGAGAATAAAGTTTAACTGTTGTAACCTGTTTCACGAGACACAGATACCTGCAATGTGTCATCAGCGCCCTTAAATCCTCACATCACCCCACGAGGTACTATTATCCTATTTTACAAATTAGGAAACTGAAACACAGCGAAGTTAAGCAACTTCTCAGGGTCACCCCATTTCTGAGCAGCAGAGCCATGATTTTGCCCCAGGCACTAGCCTGAGACCACACTCTTAACCACCGTGCCATGCTCATCCAAGGACCTGTGACCCCCAAACTGGGGTCCGTCTACTACCTGTGAGAGAACCATTTCAGGTGCTTGTTAAAAAAAACATAACAACGTTAAGACTTCCGTTTAAGCGTTTAACATCCATCTACTACTTGCTACCCTTCCCTTTAACGAAAGGAGAGCAGATCTCCGGGTAGGTGTCAAGAACAAAGCATGTCATCCAGCTAGAACTGCGTTATTTTTATTTTCATCCGACTCAGTCTGATACAAAACTCCTCTCGGGTATCACTGCACTTGTTTACCTGCCGATTCAAGGGTCTAAATATCCCAGAGTGATGGAAAAAATGGAACCTTTATGCCTTTATTCTAAGCATTCCTTATAATACATAAATTTTCCTTTCTTATAAGATCAAAGTCCTCATTCTTCACAAAGACATCTACAAATCTATGAATAACCTTTAAAAACCAACACTTTGTCGGGAACTTTTTCTTCCTAAGTAGCTTTGCACTCTTGGCCCTTCATACATTGTGACATTTGTCACCCCCCACACACACACTTCCCTATGGCCCTTGGTGTGGACATTCTCGGGCTCCAGGCCTCACTGCTGTTTGTGGCAGCCACCTGAGGCCAGGCTAGCAGCACCAGGCATTACCTGCAGTCGCTCGATGATATTCCGGTAGTCTCTGGAAGCTGCCAGAACAGAGTCTCTGCGGGCAGCATTGCGGGCGGACAGCCTCCAGTTCATGGCTGTCTTCTGCACGATGTTGTGGGATTTCAGGAAGAGGTTGTTGACCTGGCTGTCCAGGTCCACGGGAATGGCGATGGCCCGGCTCTTAGCTGTACGGGAGGAAGACGACTCGTGAGACCCCAACTTCTGTGGTCGAGAGATGAGCTCGACTCCCCAGCCCCCACCACGCAGATTTCATTCCACGCCTGTAACGTGCCTTCTTGCGTGGCTATTGCATGTGAAGACTGAGGAGCTCAACTCTACTCCACCATCGTTCACGCCAAGGTTTCCCAGTGTGAATTCTGGGGGACAGTAGGTCCAAGGAATGCTAAGCCGCTCTGAGGTCACAGAGTGTGGGCAAGACACAGTTCATGTTCAGTGAGTTTCCTCAATGAATGGCTTCTTGGGGTTGCTGATATGTTCGTGCATTTTAAGAATTATGAGGACAGGCCGGGAGCGGTGGCTCACTCCTCTAATCCTAGCACACTGGGAGGCCGAGGCGGGAGGATCGCTCAAGGTCAGGAGTTCGAAACCAGCCGGAGCAAGAGCGAGACCCGTCTCTACTATAAATAGAAATTATCTGGACAGCTAAAAATATTTATGGAAAAAATGAGCCGGGCATGGTAGTGCATGCCTGTAGTCCCAGCTACTCAGGAGGCTGAGGCAGGAGGATCGCTTGAGCGCAGGAGTCTGAGGTTGCAGTGAGCTAGGCTGATGCCACGGCACTCTAGCCTGGGTGACCAAGGGAGACTCATTCTCAAAAATAAATAAATAAATGAAAGCCTAATAATCTTCTAGTGTGAAGTACTGCCACATAAGTAAATATAAAAAAGACACCCACACACCACGAGAGAGTAAAGGGAATCAGGCAACAGGTCCTAATAAACAACAATCTATTCTTGCAGGCATGCCGCCTAGCAGTGCTAGAACCCACTGTCCGCATCCTTCTGGTTGCTGTCTGCAGGAATCCAAATAGCTACTAACAGGCGGGTTACTTTCTTCTCAATGGCCGGCAGGAAGCTCGGCCCTTCGCATAGCATGCATAGGGGTCAAGGAAGGGGAAGAGTAATAGAGTCTGATAAAGTCTGGGTGAAGGGAGAAGCAGCCGTCCTAACTTCCTTCCAGAGCTGCCTGTGAGAGGTGAGACAGGAGGAGGGACGGAGAGGAAACGAAAACGGTGGCAGAGGGAAGAGTGCACTTTCTCAGAAATGGCGTGCCCTGGGACTTCACAGGTGCTCTGCAGGAAAAAACAGTTTCCACGTGGTCAGATACGTTTGCTGGACTAAACAATGTCGTCCCTTGAAGGAGGGACGTCCCAGAGCCTTGAATACACTTGTGTGTGCTGTGACTTGCCCAGAGTTGCTGAAAAGTAACCAGCAGATCCTGTTTTTGGTTTGTTTTTTTTTTTTTGAGACAGAGTGCCTGGTCTGGTAAGGGCATTCTCTCTGCCATCAGCCCTTCCCTTTTTCCCTTTCTTTCTTTTCTTTTTTTTTTTTGAGACAAAGTCTCACTCTGTTGCCCAGGGCTAGACTGCCATGGCATCAGCCTAGCTCACAGCAGCCTCAAACTCCTGGGCTCAAGCAATCCTCCTGCCTCAGCCCCCCGAGTAGCTGGGACTACAGGCATGAGCCACCATGCCCGGCTAATTTTTTCTATATATTTTTAGCTGTCCATATAATTTCTTTCTATTTTTAGTAGAGACGGGGTCTCACTCTTGGTCAGGCTAGTCTTGAACACCTGACCTCAAGCGATCCTCCCGCCTCGGCCTCCCAGAGTGCTAGGATGACAGGCGTGAGCCACCGCGCCTGGCCAGAATCCTGTTTTTCAAGGCCTGTGTTACTTTGGGATCCACTGGCTCTTTGGGAGACGCTGGCTTGGGAGAGATTAAAAAATAAAACAAAGACCTGGGTTCCGGGTCTGGCTCTGCAACCTCCTATCTCGTGTGCAACCTTAGAAGAGCTAGAACAAGTGGCCAGATTTACTGCTGTTGGGCAATTCGTTTCCACCACGTTCTATCCGAACCGACCCGGTCCCTTACCCACGTCAGAGAGCACCCGGATGCAGCTCTCCACGGAGGCCTTCTGGCTCGGCGCCAGCCAGTTGCAGTGGTAAACCCTGAACACGCCCTGCAGCAGCTGCACAAAGACCGGCTGGCGAGTCTGCAAGAGAGAGAGGCCGAGAGAGAGAGGCATGACATGAGAAGATGACTTTTCTTTGTAGATCACTGGTGATCTCATCGGAGACAGACACTGACTGCCTTGCTGGATTCCAGAAGTTGCCCGGCCAAGACCCAAAAAGCAGCATTTTAAGGCAATGCATAAACTCGATGCTATCTAAGTCTGGCCACTAGGAGGGGCAGTGGAGTCAAAGCCGAAGACGGCCGTTCTTGTCCAGGACTAGCTGCGTGATTTTGCACAAAATTACTTTGCCTCTTTGAGCTTTAGCTTTGCCCAACACATGAACGAAGCGGATGCGGTAGATCAACCCCACAGCCCCTGCCAGACGTTGTCCTATGACTAGCACCCATCTTTTTAGCCAGCAAAAACAAGCTGCTAAGTGGGTCTCTGCTGTAAGGCCACTTCTTTATTTCTGGCAACGTCTTTGTTGACAGACGAGAGAATTCTGATGGTTACTCTTGATAAATATCCATTCATTATGGATGAGTACTTAGAAGTTAATGACATGGGAGGATTTATTCCTTTTTATGAAGGTATAGATTTGTATTCGTTTTAAAGAAAGAACTCAGACGTCCACTTAATCAATTTAACAGGCTCTCTGAATGCACTAAGAAATGTGAATTTCGGTCTCCATCCAAAGAGCGGCTGCGGGCCTGCAAGGCAAACATAGCTGTTTACAGTGAGCTACTGCATCCGTCCTTGCTTTAGGGGCAGAAGACTTGCATAGCTACCCCTCCAGAAAATAGTGAGAGCTCACAAAACAAAAAAGTCAGTATTGGAAAACTCTGAAGAGGTTTCTGAGATCAAAGAAAAACAATGGAAAATATTAGGGCAAGAAAAAGGATTTTAATTAAAAATTCAGAACTCGTCCTATAAGCACGGTTCAGACAACTTCCATTTATTAAGTCATAGTAACGTGCCAGAAACTGCACGCATGACCTCTGGGCGTCAGTAACCATTCTATGACACAGGAGTGACCTTCGTGTCGGAATTGTAAAAAGCAAAGGCCCGCTGGAGACCAAGCTCGGCCTCCGGCCAACAGGCCGGCGGTGAGACACCAAAGCAGCAGCCCAGACGGGAGTTGTAAACAGAAGAGTTACTTTTCACAAGTAAAAAAAAAAAATAACGGAAACACCCGCGGACCCGCGGCTCTTGGGCACGGGGAGGACGCCGAGAAGGGCAGGGTCGTGGGTTGGGCACTGCACGACCGCAGGAGGCGCCGGGAGCGAAGACGGTCCCCAGTGGTGCCGGGGGCTGGGCGACGCCACGGCCCGTCGAGTCCTCGCTCCGCCGCGCAGCACCTGTGACCCGCTCCAAGGCCACACTCCCAGCTACAGGGGCATTTCCTGGTGTCGTTAAGTTTTTTAAAGAAGTTAAGCGTTAATAATATGCTCACATCTGTTCAGAGCTGCTCTCCAGGACTGGGGAGGGACGGAGAAGACACAGGTAGGGGGAAAAATAACAAAGGATGCCGCCGGGCGCAGTGGCCCACGCCTGTCATCCCAGCACTCTGGGAGGCCGAGGCGGGAGGATCGCTCGAGGTCAGGAGCTCGAGGTCAGGAGTTCGAGAGCAGCCTGAGCAAGAGCGAGACCCCGTCTCTACTATAATAGAAAGAAATAATTGGCAACTAAAAATATATAGAAAAATTAGCCAGGCATGGTGGCGCAATGCCTGTAGTCCAGCCACTATCGGGAGGCTGAGGCAGGGGATCCTTGAGCCAAGGAGTTTGAGGTTTGTGAGCAAGGCTGACACGGCATCACCTAGCCTGGGCAACAGAGAGAGACACTGTCTCAAAAAGAAAAAAAAAACAAAGGAAAGGATTTTAAGGGGAAAATCAACAAGGAATAGATCCATCCAGTGTAAGGAAACACCCTCAGGCGCTTCTTTATCCCAGAGATCCTGTAGGAGCCGCCCCTCCTCCCTCCTCCCTGCCCTCCCTCCTCCTCCCTCCACTGCCTCATCTGTCCTCCCTTCCTCCATGCCCTCCTCCTCCCCCACTGCTCTCCTCCCTCTCCGTTCCCTCCTCCACTGCCCTCCCTCCGTCTCACTGCTTTGCTCAGTCCTCTCCTCCTCCTCCTCCTCCACTGCTCCTCACTCCTCTCCTCCTCTCCCATCCACTGCCTCCTCGTCCCTCCACTAGCTCGCTCGTCCTCCCTCCCTCCCTCCTCCTCACACTGCCCTCCGTCCTCCACTGCCCTCGTAGTCTCCTCACCTCCTCCTCCCTCCACTGCCTTCCGTTCCCTGGCCCTTCGCTCAGTCTCTCCTCCTCTTCACTCTCTCCCTCCCGAGAGGAGAGGCTGCTCCCTCCCTCCCACGTGGGCAGCAGGCAGAGCCGCGGGTGTCAGTTCGCCGGGCGGCCCCCCTGCAGCGTGGTGCTCTGGTCGGAGAAGGGCGAGCTGAAGAAGGTCGTGACGATGCTCATGACGATCTCTGTGACGTACTTCTCCAGAACCGAGTCGGCGTGCTTCCTGTCGCTGGTGTTGTGCAAGCTGCGGACAACGGGAGCCTCGCGCCAACCCCGACCCACGGACACACTGAGCCAGCTTGACCCGCAAACGGAAAGCCAAGGGCTCTGCGGGCATGTCTCTTCCTGAAAGGAGACAGTGACAGGACAGTGAACCGTGGGGGAAGAGCAGCAGACCAGCTTGGACGTGGCGGCGCAGAGTCACAGAGCATTAGCACTGGCGTGGGCCCAACAAGGCCTTCGCTCGCGACTTCCTGCCCGGTCTGGCAACCCTAAAACCCCACAGCGAGAGTAAAGAGGCATAATATAATGAGCAGAGGCCTCCAATTTCCCTTAAAAGTTACTGCTGCCCAAGTGTGGTGGCCACGCCTGTATGCCCAGCATCTGGAGGCGAGTGGCTGAGGATGGCTCGAGGCCAGGAGTTTAGAGGACCAGCCTGAGGAAGAACGAGACCTCTCTACTATTATGAAAGAAATTAATTGGCCAATGAAAATTAATTAGAAAAATCCAGCCAACATGTGGCACATGCTGTGTGCCACTTCGCGGAGGAGAGCAGGAGATCGCTTGAGCCCAGGAGTTGGAGGTTGCTGTGAGCGAGGCTGACCCACGGCACTCACTCTAGCCTGGGCAACAGAGTGAGACGCTGTCTCAAAAAAAGGAAAAACAGTTAACTGCCCTCGGGTCAGCCATTCTTGTGATGTAGGCCACGGTCTCAAATCCAACTGAGGTCCAGCATGCACGACAGCCTGCAATCCCATGACACTCCTCTGTTCAATAAAAATTTTCCTGATACAAAACATTGTTCAAAATAGGAGACCATGGGTCAGAATAACTGACTACACAGGTTTTGAGATGAGGAGACAGCTAAGATTTAATCTATGCTCTACCTACTTAATTTGGCTGCTTAGAATGAGATTAGCCATTTATAGGGTTAAAGAACAAAAGTTTTAAAATCAAGTTTTGTTTTTTTATTTTAAGAGAGAGGGTCTTGCTCTGTTGCCCAGGCTGGGGTGCCATCGTGGCTCATCATCGCTCACTGTAGGCGTGAACTCCTGGGCTCAAGCAATCCTTCCGTCTTAGCCTCCCAAGTAGCTGGGACTACACGCAGCTGGGACTATAGGCTTGCACCAGCACACTGGCTAATTTTTTTATCATTATTATTTTAAAGATGGGGTCTCACTATCTTGCCCAGGCAGGCCTCAAACTCCTGGCCTCAAGAAATCCTCCCATCTCAGCCTCTCACAAGTACTGAGATTACAGGCAGGAGCCACTGCTCCTGACCTCTTCAAATCAGGTTTTATCACCAAATTTATTAGTTCTGCAATTTGAAATATAAAATTGCTTATACTAAAGAAAATGAAGTGAAGGATTAAAAAAAAAATCAAATTTTATTAAGAGACATTCGTGGTCTGACCTTAAATACTCAGCAGTTTGAGAACACATTCGAAGAATGAAATTGATAACTGATTTTACAGCATTTCTGAACCATTTAATAATGCAGGGATCAGAGCAAAGTAAGGGCTGGTGGTTGTCTTTATAAATAAAGTTTTATTGGAACACAGCCATGCCCGTCTGTCATGGCTGCTTTCACGCTCTGCAGACAGAATTGAGTAGTTGTGACACAGACAAATGGCCCATAAGACAGAACCTATTTACTATCTGGTCCTTTACAGAAAACTTCACAGAGCCCTGGTTTAAAGAAAGAAAGTAGGCCTCCCATTCCAAGCCTAAACTCCTAGACTAACGGGATTCAAAGACTAGAAGGAATCTGAAATTTTTTTAAAAAGTATATTGTCTGTGACACCCACAACTGATTATTGCCCTCGCAGGCTTCTTCCTCATACTGGCAACTGCACAATCAAGCAGATAATACCACGTTCTAGAATTCTACTGTACAATGTTCTTTTTGTTTTTCTTTTTAACATCACACTGTGTCTGAAATTGCAACGCATTTCACAATTATTCTCTGAAAAAAAATCTTACCATCTTCCTCACTTCCCTACCACAAAACTCACACGAAATCCACCGTGTGCTTTGCGGTGTGGGAGCCTTGTGGCGAGCTCAGTGCAAAACCAAATCACGCGTCACAAAGGCCACCAGGAGTCGGGGTCAGGAAAGCAACAAAGGAAGGTTTCTGCTGTGCAGAGTCCTCCACTGCAGACTGCACGAGATGAACGCCCGAGCTCGGGGAGCTGCTCTTCACGCACAGACGTGTTGTCAAGCAAAAGAAATCCTCACACATATCGCTTTAATGGGCCCAGCTTATCATTCACAAATCAATCCACAAGGGGTCAAATGAAAACCAGAAACTGTGAAACTCAGTGGAAATCAGCCAGCGAAGGGGCAAAAACCTGCCTCATGGGCGCTATGAACACTAGTTAAGCGTTCATGCCTTTAGCCGGGACTCGAGCTCTACAAAAGTCATCCGTGTAATCTACAAAATTTGTACCCCCTTAATATTCTGAAATTTAGTAAGAAGGAAACCAGAAATAACCGTAATCCCCCTGAACTTGAGTAAATAAAACCGGTATCTCAGACAAGACAAAAGGTAGAGAAGAAATAGGACATTAGGAAGGATAACAGTCATAAAAGCCCCCTCATGCCACAAACGAGAGTGGAGATGACACCGCTGTTTCCCTGATGTCTGCACAGGGACGGGAGACAGACAGACACACAGACACACACAGACAGACACAGACACACACACACATACACACAGACACACAGACAGACACACACACAGACAGACAGACACACACACAGACACCACACACACAGACAGACACACAGACAGACAGACACACACACAGACAGACACACAGACAGACAGACACACATACAGACAGACACACAGACACACACACACAGACACACACACACAGACACACACAGACACATAGACACACACACAGACACATAGCAGACAGGACACGACACACAGACAGACCACACAAGACAGACAGACACACAGACAACACACAGACACACACACACACAGACAGACAGACACACACAGACAGACACAAGACACAACACCACAGACCACACACACACACAGACAGACAGACCACACACAGACAGACACACGAGACAGACAGACACACACAGACAGACACACACAGACAGAGCACACCAGACAGACAGACACAGACACACCACCAGCTCGTTTCCTCTGTCCCCCTGATTCCAGAGAGCCTTACCCTGCAGATGTCTACAAGGAAATTCTCGAACAATTTCCACATGTGGTTGCTGGTGTAAATCTCCTTCATTTCCACCTCGGTATCCACGTAGCAGTGATTCAGGAAGTTGATGTACGCGATTTTAACCTGCAAGATACAAACAAGCTTTCCTGAAAAGTCAGCCCGGTAGGTGTGCACCCGGCCAGCCGCTTCATCGTTCACGGTGAGAGGGATGGACCAAGAAAGACGGTCATTCTGCTGCCCTGCCGACTTTCCTATCTATCATCTTTTTTTTAATATTTGAAATTCACAAGGATAAAATGAAAAACCATAAAGCTTTTGGAAGAGAGTATTTTTGTGAGCTCAGAATAAAGAATGAGGCAAAAACCTCTGATCATGCAATAGGGACAAGTTGGACTACACTAAAATTAAGAATTTCTGTTCATGAAAAGGCATTGTTAAAAAAAAAATAGTTAAATGGCACCAGGTGGGAGATGTTTGCAATGCATGTAGCAATGAGGAATGCCTACAGAATTCCTCGGTCGACTCTCAGGGAAAGCAGTCCTTTTTTTTTTTTTTCCTTTTTATCTTCATTCGTTTTTTTTTTCTTTTTTCCTTCTTTCTCATTATCTTCTCTTCGTTTCTCCTTTTTTCTTTTTTTTTTTTTTTTTTTTTTTTTTTTTCTCAGACACAAGCTCTTCACTCTTTTTTTTGCGCTAAGTTGAGTCGCGTTGGGCGGGTCAGCCTAGCTCAGTTGCTAACGGCGATCTCTTGCCTCGCTCCTGAGTAGCTGGACTAAACAGGCATGCCCACCATACGCCGGGCTCATTGTTTGTCCTATATAGTAGTAGTTGGCCCAATTAATTTCTTTCTATTTATAGCAGAGACAGGGTCTCGCTCTTGCTCAGGCTGGTTTCGAACTCCTGACCTTGAGCAATCCTCTCACCTCGGCCTCCCAGAGTGCTAGGATTACAGGCGTGAGCCTGTGCGCCCAGCCATTATCGGATATTTTCTTAAAGGAATATCAAGTGTCTAAAAAACACACAGAAAGGGGCTCAACTTCATTGAGGAATTAGGACATAGAAATTAAAGCCCCTATGATTAATGAAAACATGTGTCTACACAAAAACTTGTACACAGATGTGTACTCTTGATTCACAAGAGTCAAAGAGTCACAAGACTCTTGATTCACAAGAGTCAAAAAGTCGAAGCAATCCAAATGTCCATCAACTGATGGATGGGTGAACAAAATGTGGTGTATCTGTATAACGGACTATTTAACATAAAGGAGTGAAGCACTGACATACGCTACAACTTACATGAACTTTGAAAGAAATCACGCTTACACGACAAAATCCAGTCCCGCAAAGACCCACCAACTTGATGCCCACTTTAGTAGGAATGTCCAAAAAGGCGGCAAATCCACACGTACGAGATTACCCATTACTAGATTAGGTTTTGGGAGAAATGCAGAGTGACCCATTAACCGGCCATCGAGGCTCTTTGGAGGTGAGAAAAATTACTATAATCCAGCTGACGGTACCCCATAAAACCCAGTGAATATATTAAAAACCACTGAATTTTAAATGAATCATATGGAATGTAGACATCTCCATAAAGCTTCCAAGATTTAAAACAAAATAAGCCACTATGAGATACTACTTACACAACCAACACATGGAAAAAAAAAATTGTTAAAGAATCTGATAATATTTCCACTTAAAACATAACTACATTTATTGGGGCCAGGCACGTGGCTCACACCTGTCCATCCTAAAGCCCACAGTGAGGCTGAGGCAAGAGTTCGCTCAAGGTCAGGAGTTCGAAAACAACCTGAGCAAGAGCGAGACCCCATCTCTACTAAAAACAGAAAGATACTGAAAACATCAAGTCGTAACTATAAAAGAAAAAAAAGATAAACAAATACAAAATATAGAAGAATCTCATCGGCCAACGACAAATTACTAGAAAAGCGAGCCACGGTGGCGCATGCACTGCGTAGTCCCACCTACCTCTGGAGGCGAGAGAGTCGCTTGGGCCCAGAGTTAAGGTGCGTGAGCTTGGCTGAACGCCACGGCACACACTCCTACTCGCAACAAAGAAACATCTGTTCCAAAAAAAAAAAAAAAAAAAGTTAATTTTATATATTGTAAAACATACAAGGCAAAAACATATACTCTATTATACGATCCGATTTTTGTTAATAACTAGTATTATGAGTAGGGAAAAAAGAAGCCTGGAAGAATTAACTTCGAAACTTAGTTACTCATCATGAGTGGTAGAGTTATAGGTTATTTCTATTTTCTTATTGATTACCTGTAGTTCTTAAATTTTTTATAATGGTCAGTCATTATTTCCCTGCAGAAGTTTTTTTTTTTTTTTTAAAGACAAGAGTCTCACTCTGTTGCCCGGGCTACAGTTGCCGTGCATCAGCCTAGCTCCACAGCACCTCAATTCCTGGGCTCAGGGCAACCCTCTGCCCTCACCTCCCAAGTAGCTGGGACTACGGCACGCGCCCACACATGCCCCGGCTAATTTTTTCCATATATATATATATTTTTAGCTGGCCGTAATTTTCTTTCCCATTTTTTTTTAGCCAAAGAGACAGGGCTCGCTCTTGCTCCAAGCTTGATTTCGAATTCCCTGACCTCTGAGTGATCCCCGCCTCGGCTCCCCAGAGTGACTAGGATGCCAGCGCGTGGAGCCACTATGGCGCCCAGCCTAAGAGTTTGTGCTTTAAAGGATTAACTTACAGACCAAGTCTACACTCGCAGGCAGGAAATCGCAACCCACTCTCGACCCCGTTTCTGAGAGGTTCATTCATTCATTCGGGGCCCCCCCTCTTTGCTCAACAGCCGCGTTAGTTCCTGCAGAGCGGAAGCTTCCCTCCCGGCTCTCCTCCAGGAGCAGAAGGAAAGACTGACTCCCTTGTTCTTTCAGACGAAATCAGGGCTGGAGGACCCGCCACTGCGGCGCCGACATCCCAGCTGGACCGGCGACGGGGGCTCCTAGGCCAGCCGCCGCGACCCTCCCAGCCCGCCACGGCCCCACCCCCTTGTAGAGAGGCGCGAGAGGGGGGTCCCCTCACCTCGGGGAGGCAGTCCTCGTGGGTGACCACGCGCACGATGTCGTCCAGCGGGAGCAGGGAGTTGCACTTGATCTCCGTGTAGACGTTCTTGCCCTCCGTGCACACGGCCAGCAGCTCCACCAGGTGGATGTGGTACATGAGCGGGCTGTTCTCGTCCATGCGGTCCCGCTCCGAGCGCATCATCTGGATCAGAGTCTGGAAGGAGGCTCTGTCGTTGTAGAACACCAGGACGTCCTCGCCGGAATTGACCAGCTACGGAAAAGGACAGGCCCTGCTCACACCACAAGCTGGCAGGGTGGGGGCGGAGCGACACGGTCTATCCCCGAGAAAGCCGGGTGTCCCGTTGGCACTCGCCTTCCTGCACCAGTCTTACTCCTGCGCCCCTAACTCGCCCAGGTTTCATTCGCTTACGGAAGTGAGCAGGGAAAACCTTCAGCGTCAGAATTCTGATCCACAGTGGCCATAAAAAAATATTAGAGGGAAAGAAAAGCTGCATTAACAGGATCACTTGAGCCCAGGAGTCTGAGGTTGCTGTGAGCGAGGCTGACGCCACGGCACTCACTCTAGCCTGGGCAACAAAGTGAGACTCTGTCTCAAAAAAAAGAAAAGAAATAAAACAGACCTTGTTTATGCCCCAGCCCATAGTTTACTCCCTTGACTTCTATTACCATAGATGAGCCCTGTCTGTTCTTGAACTTCACGCCCTGTTCTTCACTGATATGTATGCTCCAGGGCACGAACATTTGACGATGTGTTTATCTATTACTGATGGGCATTTGGGTCCTACAGTTTGGATAAGCAGCGACATTACTAGTATTACAAATATTACAATGCAGCTGCTCTACACATCCTTGTGCACGTCTTCCGGTAAACGTAGCGTAAGCATGTCTGCTGGGTTTACACCCGAGAGCGGAATTGCTGGGTCTCGGAGTATAAATAACGTTTGGCTTTAGAAGACACTGCCAAACAGCTTTCGAAAGATGTTAGCAACTTACATTCCACAGTCACAGCTGTTCCGTGTCCTTGCCAACACTTTCGTACTGTCAGTCTTTTTAATTTTAGTCCTGTCTTAAAGTGCATATATATATAACTTCATTTGCATTTGTCTGATGACTAATCACGCTGAGCACTTTGTCACATTTATTGGCCATTTGGATACCCTGGAGTGTTCATTCAAGTTTTTTTTTTTTTGCCAGTTTTTAAAGTGGGTTGTCTTTTTCCTCACTGACTTTTTGGAGTCTGTTACACACATTCTGGATATGAATTCTCTGATCACACGCTTGCAAATGTCTCTCACTCTCTGGCTTGCCTTCGGATATTCCTAATGGTGTCATTTGAGGAACAGAAGCTTTTGATTGTAAAGAAATCCAATTTATCAATATTTTCCTTAATAATTAGTGTTATTTGCACACTGCGTAAGAAAACTTTGCCTATAACACAGTCCTGAAGATGTTAGTATATAATCGTCTAGAAGCTTTGTTTTTACTTTTTACCCAGAGTTGCTAAATTTGACATTTGCTGTGAGGGAGAGGCTCTAAATCTTTCTATCTTTTGCCTTTTCTTTCTCTTAACATGAAAACAGGGTATCCCCATATGAAACGCTTGGGACCAGAAGTGTTCTGGATTTCATAATTTTTGCTTTATACCTTCCTGGATGAGCATCTCAAATCCAAAAATCCGAAATCTGAAATGTGAGCATCATGTTAGCACCCAAAAAGTTTCAAATTCTGGAGCATTTCTGATTTTCAGGTTCGGGCTGCTGAACCTGTATGACCCTACAATTCATCAATCCTTTTTCTAGAAAGTGTTAGCAGTACTAATGAGTGTATTTTTGTACGTATCTATGTGTTAGGTTGGTGCAAAAGTAATTGCGGTTTTGGACTGTGAATTTCAAATCATTATAGCTAGGCTCAAACACCTATTTGTTAATCAAAACAGGAACCATTTGTTGTTACCATCAACACATTTTTGCCAATGAGAAATCAGTTTGTTTATGCCGGTAGCGTCAAAATTCGTGCTTTGGGATTCCACGAACTCCTGGAAAGCATTTTCTGCATCCTGCTGGTTTTGGAAGCGTTTTCTCTGCAAAGAGCTGTGCAGTTGCTTGAAGAAGGGGTAGTCGGGGGGTGATCAGGCGAACATGGCAAATGAGGCAAAACTTCGCGGCCCAATTCGCTCCCCTCGTGAAGCGTTGTTTGTGGAATGCGCAGTCGGGCAGAGTCGGGGAGAGGAATTGGGCCCTTTCTGGTGGCCAGTGCCGGCTGCAGGGGCTGCCGTTTTCAGTGCGTCTCATCGATTTGCTGAGCAGACTTCTCAGGTGCGATGGTTTCGCTGGGATTCAGAAAGCTGTGGTGGATCAGACCTGCAGCAGAGCACCCAACAGTGACCACGACCTGTTTTGGGTGCAAGTCTGGCTTCGGGACGCGCTTTGGAGCTGCTTCTCAGTCCAACCACTGACCAGTCTGCATCACTTGTCACATAAAATACACTTTTTGTCGCACATCACAATCCGATCGAGAAACGGTTCACTGTTGCTGGGCACAAGAGAAGACGACACTGCAAAATGACGATTTTTTTGATTTTCAGTCGGCTCAGGAGGCACCCACTCACTGAGCTTTCTCACCTTTGCAATTTGCTTCAAATGCCGAACAGCCGTAGACTGGCCGATGCTGCCTTCCGCGGCAACTTCCTGCATGGCTGGTGAGAGGGTCAGCTTCACCGACTGCTCCCAACGGGTCAACTGGTCAACGTCAACTTCCGACGGACAGCCACTGCGCTCCTCACCTTCACGGCTCTTGTCTCACTTTCAAAACTTCTCGAACCCCCACTGCAGGGTATGTTCATTCGCAGTTCCTGGGCCAAGGGCGTTGCTGATGTCTCTAGTTGCCTCTGCTGCTTTCCGACCCACTTTGAACTCAAATAAGAAAATTGCTCGGATTTGCTTCTTGTCTAACATCACTTCCATAGTTTAAAATAGACATAAAACAAACAGCAAGTAGTAAGTCACTAGCAAAAAGACATAAAGTGAGAAATGCACATTAAAATGATGTATAACATAGCATTTTATTTAAGAATGTATTCCGATACCAAATGGCAAATTTCAACAACGCTGAAACCACAATTACTTTTGCACCAACCTCCACATGTACTAAGATGCCCTTTGCAGTATTGTTTACAAAGTCAAAAACTAGAGATTGCCTAATTGTCCATTAATGTAAAAATGGTTTTTTAAAAAAATCACAGCCATTCTATGCAATGCCACTTAGCCATCAAAAAGAATGAGAAACATTTAAATATCTTTTATTTCAAAGGCAGCCAAGGTATCTTGAATGCAAAAGACAAAATGCAAGACAATGTGTAGTGTGGCATCATTATTCTTTAAAAAATATATAACACACACATTTTAAAAAACGTATTTAACAAACTAAGATGTGGCCATGGTTTTTATGACTATATTATGTCTTTGTAGAAACAGAAAACTTCATGCATGATCTCAGGAAGCTGTGCCTGGAAAGTGAGACTTAGCTCTTCCATGTTGCTGAAATTCAATACAGCGAGGGATGTCATTAGGAAAAACATAGAAATGCATCTTACTGCTCCACTCACCTTCCTCCTTCCTCCACTCCCACCCCGTGGCCACCCTATGTCCCCAAAAGATGAGGAGCATTTATGTCCTCCTGATAATGGCAAAAATGCTCCCATTTGGAATGAATGACACATTATTTAAAAGCCCCAGAAGCCACAAAAGCACAAGACCAAGCTGTTCCTCTTCCCTCTTTCCTGCCCCCTCCTCCCCCGCTCAGATTCGCACCCAGGCCCCGAGTCTTACCCCCGGGTTGAGGAACAGGTTTATGTGTTTATGCAGCAGAGCTTGGTTCTGCTGGTTGCCCGCGCAGAAATTCTGCAGAAACTCGTGCGCCAGCCTCATTATCTCCTGCATCTTGGTGTCTTCGGCCTGCGAGGGAGGAGACGGAGGACAGGGCGGATCAGCGGATCCATCGCTTCTGCTAACGCGGAGGCGGGAGGCGCCTGCCCGGGACCCGCACGCTCAGTGCTGTTCCGCCGACCCCGAAAAGCAGCCAGTCACCTGTTTGTGCCTCGTCGATGAAAACGAAGATGTCACTGGGGGACAAGGAGAGCCACACAGAGTGGCAGCTAACAGACAGCCTCTGGCTGGCCACTGCCCAGCAACGCCTGAGACTTCGGAACCTCCTACCTTCTTTCCCCGAAAATAAGCCCTACCAATAAAACAAGCCCCGGCAGGATGTCTGAGCACGTGCGCCATAGAAGCCCCACCCCGAAAATCAGCCCTAGTGACAGGCGTGGCTGCGCAGCGTCTGCACAACCCGTGGGTGTCGTCGCGGAGCGGGAAAGGACACGAGCAGCCCTTCTCCTCCGCCCGTGACAGCTCTAGTGCTCCACAGGGGAGATCGGGGCCGATGGCTCTAAAGGAAACAGAGTCGCAAGACATTCAGGATGGGACTCGGGGTTTGGAGAGTGAGGATGATGCTGCAGTAGAAGACCACTTAACTATATTTGCATCAATGTAGATGGTTGTACTGCACTTAAAAAAAAATAACACATCCCCTGAAAATAAGCCCTAGGGTGTCTTGTTGAGGGAAAATAAATATGAGACCCTGTCTTATTTTCGGGGAAACACGGCACTTCTGCAAACGGGGACTGACAGCAGGACAAGGGGCCAACTCCGTCACTGATGGCGAGCAGTCACTGCCCAAACTCACCTTTCTGAGTTGCCCAAGTGAAGGGAGAATCCCCCTCCCTTCCTAGTAGCGCGTAACTGCAAACTAGCATCAGCAACCGCAGAGTGCCCTCTGCCCAGATGCCTGCCTTGTGCACAACTGCGAAACGGCACGACTAAGGAACTGCAGAGTGACACGTGACAGGGCCACCGGGCTCCTGCAGACCTTGTAACCGTTTGCTTCTGTAACCTATAAAAGCCACCAGGCTCAGACCCCGTCTTGCTCAGACTCTGGAGGCGAGACCCCTCTGAGCCCGCCGGCGTAATAGAAGCCGGTTCCGCAGCACTCTCGTGGCTCCCGGTCTGTTTCCCTGCCTTGCTGGCTGTGACACACCAGTGGCTCGTAACTTCCGGCAGCAGGGAACAATGGCAGAGCGGAAATCTCCTTAGATTATAAACTGGGGCGCAGCGGCCCTCACTCGTTCCCTCGCCACCTCAGGGATGATTTTTAACCTAAGACTTCGTTTTCCCATCTGCAAAATGGGTACAGTACCTGCCGCGGCATTTCACACGGGAGACTGCGCGATTCTCGCACACAAAATGACATGACTCTCACTGCACACGTGAAAAGAACACACTCAGTATTTGTGAAGTGTTAAATATCCCGCAATAAGACAAAGGCATAAAATCTACTGCCGTTTTGCCCAATTCTGAACAAGCAAACATTCAAGACAGCACAAAGGGAGCAAGAATCCCTAAAATGGAAATCGCCCTTCATATTCGCACAGCCAGTCTCCGCGCCAGTCTCCGCGGCCACCGCCTCCCCTGGGAGGCAGCGGGTACGGCAGACGAGATGCAGCCCTGAGACCAGACCGTCCCGCTCTGCTCCCAGATCCACAATTTTGTGACCTGGACCAAGTGACTCAGCCTCTCAGGGCCTCAGTTTCCTCACCTGTCGAGTGGTGATCATAAAAGTGCACCCTTCACGTGGCTGTGAAGAAGATTAAATGAGAAAACCCACACGACGCGCTCAGAAAGCTCTTACTTGGTACGTGTCACCTATTGGTTCTGGCCTAGACTGAGGTCAGCAAACTCGTTCTTGAAAGGCAAGACGATAAGCGTCTCAGGTTCAGTGGGTCAAGAGGGAAAAATCAAGGACACTATGCAGGTACCCGGGTAACTATTTTTTCTGTAATGTGACAACCACTCTCCGCTGACGTGCTGAACGAAACAGGCGCTGGGCGGGACGCGGCCTCTGTCTGTGGCTTGCAAAGCCCTGGTCTAGACATAACTCTGAGAGAGCAGGACACATCTGCGAAGAAGTCAAGGAAAGAATCTGACCTACCAGCTTGGACAGTCCACCCAAAACAGGAGAAATAAATTAAAAAAAAAATAAATAGAAAGAAAGTAATTGGCCAACTAAGAATATACAGAAAAAATTATCCATGCATGGTGATGCATGCCTGTGGTCCCAGCGACTCGGGAGGCTGAGGCAGGAGGATCTCTTGAGCCCAGGAGTCTGAGGTTGCTGTGAGCGAGGCTGACGCCACGGCGCTCACATTAGAGGACATGAGGAGGAGCATGTCCCAGTACGGCAGAGCTAGGGCCTCTCATTAACAGGGGGACGGGTGAACCCTCTAGTTTAGGGATCATCACACTTTTTAAACAGGGGCCGGCTCGCTGTCCCTCAGACCGTTGGAGAGCGTGGCGCACGTCCCACACATGCTCACTGCGGGCCAGACGCGTCGGCTGCTGAGCAGGACAGGCAGGGCGGCAAAGACACCCGGCGGGCCGGATAATGTCCTCAGCGGGCGGCATGTGGCCTGCGGGCCGTAGCCTGAGGACGCCTGCTCCAGCTCCATGAAACCGGAGCTTGGGGACCGACAGCCCCTGCGGGCTGGCAGAGGCGACACTGAGCAGCCCTGCACACCTCCATCCTTCTGCTGAGGAAGGATCAGCCAGCACACAGGTGACTGTCACGACGTGACTGAAGAGCCTCTGCGGTGGGAAGTGGATTTTTACAAGGCAGGAAAGCTGCACTGACATCACATGGCACATCACAAGCGGTTACCTGCTGGGGCCTCCACTGTCCTCCCCACTGGGATGTCTGAGCCCGTCCAAAAGCAAACACAGAAAAGCACGTGTGCACTCACACACACACACACACACACACACACACACACACGCACACACGCACACGCACGCAAACGCACACGCGCACACACACACACACGATGTTTTGCCTTTGAGCCACCAATTCCAACCAAACCTGGTCACCTGTAACATGAACGCAGGCCTCTCAGAAAACAGATGCTATTTTAAGACAACGCTGTGGTCAGCAAAACATCCCCTCGTGTTCTTTACACAAAGGGGGAACAGACCAGCTAGCTGGTTCTGGTCCGAATGCAAGACACAGTCTGGACGCCATGCACACCTGCGCTACTGGCAAGTCGGCCAAGGACCTGAGCTGTCCAAGAGTAACGAAGCCTGCGCTTCATTTGTGGCTGCCGAAAGGCCTGACTAGCCTGACTGACGTGGTCCTGTGACGGAGGAAGAGGCTCCTTTGCAGGGAACCTTCTGGAACGTCCCAGAAGGTTCCCTGCAAAGGAGCAGAGCCGGAGCCACCACACGGAGCTGTGTCCTCCAGGCAAGTCACCGAGCCCCTGCAGCTGCAGCCCCTTCATCCACAGTGGGGGGGCGGGGTACAGCACCACCCATCTTGCCCCCGAGTCTCCAGGACGACATGCCTAACAAGCAGAGAGGCCTGGGCACAGCGCCTGGCACCCTGCGAGCACTGGGCAGCGAGCCTCCGTCAGGAAGTCGGTCTCTCTGGCAGCCGCTGGTCAACTCCAGAAACCCGAGTCTAAGCCCTGGGCTCTCGGCCACCCCAAGCCTCGGCGTCCTCATCCACCAAGAGGACAAACGCGAACCCCCCCGGCGTCCGCGGGCTGAGGGAACGACTTCGCAAGCGGCTCGACAGCCTGCAAGATGGGCAGCACCTCCCCGGCCTGCCCTCCAAATCCAGCCTCCTTCCAGCGCGCAGGATGTTAGGCAGCGGCTCCTGGCGACAGCAGGGTGACCCGACCAGGCGTCGCGGGATCGATGCGACACTGAGACACGCCGCATGCCAGCGCGGGCGCTCCAGAAGCGACAAGCTCCGTCCTGCACGCGGCTGAGCGGGAGCCCGCTCTCGCTCGACCAGAGACCGCGAGGAACAGGCACCAGCCCACGTGCAGCTGTGGGCGTGACTGTCCGGAAGGCCCGCTGTCTCCACCACTGGCTGGAGCAAGGAGGCGTCATCCCAGCATCTGGGAGTCGCAGGGGGAGGAATCCGCTCAAGGTCAGGAGGTCGGACCACCTGCAGCAGGCCGAACACCTTAATAAATGAAAGATAATTATGACAACTAAAAATACACTGAAAAAAATGAGCCCGGGCCATGGAGGCGCATGCCTGTAGTCCCAGCTATCGGGAGGCTGAGCAGGAGGATCGCTGGAGCCCAGGAGTCGGAGGTCTGTGAGCGAGGGCGACGCCACGGCACTCTAGCCTGGGCAACAGAGTGAGACTCTGTCTGGACTCCTCTTTCTTGATACGATCTGAAAGCTGGGGACGAGGCTGCTCACGGGGGTGAGGCTGACCTGTTTGCGTGTCAGCCACTCGAGCCGGCTCTGCGGCCACGGGAGCGGCGTGTCCTGCCCCAGTGGCGCGTGGGCGGGAGGGCGTGGGCGCCTGTCCCCACGCACCTTCTCGTAGGGGATCTGCAGCAGCTCGAGCACCACGGCGTGCGCGCCCATGTTGCGGAGCAGCCGCTGCTGCTGCTTCCGGCTCTTCCGCACCGTCGCGCCCTCCTGCACGCACAGCTTGCTCAGCCGGATCAGGATCTGGCGGGAGGAAAAGAGACCAGCTCGCAACGCCGGGCACTCGAGCTTCGAAGGGCCTCGCGGGCAGGAGAGCACGAAAGGTCCCGGTGATTAAAAAACCCCAAACGGCCCGGCGCCGGTCACGCTGTATCTAGCCTGCCTGAGGCCAAGGCGGGAATCGCTAGCGGTCAGGGAGTTTTGAAATCAAGCACTGAGCCAGAGACCAGACCCGTCCTTCTACTATAATTAGAAAGATTAATGGCAATAAAAAATATGAAAGAAAAATAGCGGGCGTTGCGATCTGTCCAGCTACTTGAGCTGAGCAGAGGATGCTTGGCCCAGGATTGTGAGGTATGTTGTGACAGGCTCGACACGGCACTCACTGCTACTGGGAAGAGTGAACTTGTCTAAAAAGAAAGAAAAAAAAAAAACGCCGCACGAGAGAAGAAGCCGGCACGTCGTGACCTCCAGGCTTGACGGCCGTAGCCGCAAGCCTCAGAGCCCGCAGAGACGCGCTAGGGAGCCGCAGAGAGCCCGCGCAGAGCCCGCAGAGAGCGCAGGCCGCGCAGGAGCGCGCAGGGAGCCCGCAGAGAGCGCGTCCAGGAGCCGCAGCGCGAGGCCGGCTCTCGGACGAGGCGCTCGCAGAGAGACGTCTCAGGGAAGCCCGCAGAGAGCGCCAGGAGCCGCAGAGTGCGGCAGAGCCGCAGAGAGGCGCAGAGAGCCCGCAGAGAGCGCTCAGGGAGCCCGCAGAGAGCGCGCAGGAGCCGCAGAGAGCGCAGAGAGAGAAGGCTAGGACTCACCTCCTTCACCACTCTGTAGTTGTAGTGCTGGTGCTTTCGTGCTTTGCGTCTGTTATTCCGTCTAGGGGCCAAAGGAACGTAAGCGCGGTTTGCGCAGCCCCGCTGCTCGGGTGGGTCGGGCAGCAACACCCTTTCGGGAAGGACGGAGCTCCGCGCCGTCTCCGACGGCCGTGCGGGCTTCATGCCCGAGTGACCACCACCAACGCTCTCCCTCGGGCGAGACAGTGCGCGGGCCAGGCTTGAGGAAGCTCTGCTCCCACGAGGGTCCATGAGAGACGGCTGGTGCCGCGTCACTCAGCACCAAAGTCTCTCCCACGTGATTCACGACGACACAGGAGACACAGCCGGGAATGGATCTGTCCCTGTACGTCCTATGAAGCGGCTGTCCGCCTGGCACTCAGGTAAGCAGATCTCACGAAATAAAACACGCCCGATCGTCTGCAGCTCGCACCTACAAACCCAGCGCAGGACGCTACCTGCTCTGGAAAGCGCCCGTGACGCGGCCGCTCTCACCTCCGCTTCTTGTGTCCGTCTCGCCGGCGCGCCGTCCATTGTCTCGTCGGGGCCTGCCCTTTGTACACCCCACAGCTCGACTGTCTCCACGCCCGAAGTGATAGGGCCTACGGTGGGGGGGGGGGGGGTGGCGGGGCGGGGGGATGCCGAGCTCCAGTCTGATTTCTGTTTAGTGTGTGTGTGACAGCAGCTGGATGCCCGCCGATGCGTGGGTGTTGCGCGACGTGGTTCGCGTGTGGTCTC